CAGGTGGTTTGTCATCGGGTGTTTGATCAAAAGTGCCGTGTCCGGCTTTGACCACAGGTGTTTTGTCCATGTAGGATCTTTGATCAAAGGTTTTATTTGATCACAGGCGGTTCGTCCAATGCCTGCGTTTAATAACAAGCGCTTTCAGAGGCGTAGCGACCCTGCCCGGCGCCCGGGGCAAACTTTCGATTTGCACCCCCCCCCCTCTCAAACTTTTGATTTGCAACCCCCCTCAAACTTTCAATTTGTTTTTTCAACCGATTTTGGCGCCCCCTAAGGTCGGCGCCCGCGGACATATGCCTACGCCTCTGGATACAGTAGAATCAAATTTATTTAATCAGTGTCTGAAAAAACATTCACAGAATACTTACAATTGCCGTCTGGGTTGTAGCTTTCAACCCTAGTTGAGATCGATGAATTTCAATAGCAATGTTCCTGTTTACTGTTACATAAGTTTGTTTTGAGAGATTTAGTCAACACTTTAATTTCATAAGTTCATTAGCTATCAATTACTAGATGCGTGAAAGTAACTAAAAATGATGTGTATTATATTATAAGAGTCTTGTTAAAAAAAAAATCCAGATTTACTTTTGTTACACCTGACTCATATCTCGTGTATGACAATCAATCCCTTGAAAAATTATTTGCTTATTCAAAAAAATAACACGTCAAAACTATGAGAAATTGTAGAGGTCGGAAAAGAGTATTCAGGTTAGGGTAATAAGTGAGAAACCTTTCTCTTGCAGTTTAAAAATCGATTTTTAAATTTATTTTACTAGTTTTTTTTTTTTTTTTTTTTTTTTTTTTAATTTTTAGATATTTTATTGCAAGTAGTAATTGAAATTATATTGTTTCCACTTGAACCGGACTTGCTAAACACTTAAGTACAACAAAGTGATTAATTAAAGATTTTATCACTGTAGAATATTTTCTAAAGAGCAGAGAAGGCTCAATGGTAACGTCACTTTAGGGAGCATTTGATTTTTGTTGGCGATCTCATATATCATGATCAGTGGTGGTGAAATACCATTTAAAAACTAATTGCTAAATTTAATTGCATTTCATCTTACACATTTTGAAAATTTGAAACAAAACTTTCTAGAATGTTTGATGTCACAACAACTAGCCAGCGGACTATATTAGAGTTAGTAAAAGAAGGATCAATGATTATGTTATCAATACAATTTGTTTTTATATTCAGACTTGGAAAAAAGTTAGTTTTTTTCAAGATAGACGCCATTGCAATGGCAATTATATTTTCAAAAGAGTCCCTGATGCATGATAATATTTTCTCTTAAGAATCTTAACATTTATACACGCAAATTTTAAAAAAAAAAAATTTATTAAGAAGTTTATTTTGTCTTTTTTTTCCCTGATCCGTACGACTCAATTTGTTGCCACACATTTACCTGATTAACGTTTTTACTAAGCAATTACATGATTAGCGAGGGGTCGGCGTGGTCGAGTCGGTAAAGCTCATGGTTGCTAAACCGAAAAGTCTCGAGTTCGAACCCTCGGGCAGATGAGGTTCGTTAGCTGGGGACAGCAACTCTTCTAGGAGAGACAACTCCAAAATTAAACAACTGCTGCTTTGTAGTTTGTTCTTGGTTGGACAAAGGCTATGGAAGCAAATCCAAAAAGAAAAGCAGGCTGAAATCGGAGTCAATGGCCTCAATGACGCATAACCAATTGACACGTAACGCTTAATTGTGTTGGAGGCGTGGTCGAGTCGGCAAAAAGCTCATGGTTGATAAATTCGAACAAAGTCTCGATTTTCAAACCCACTGGCAGATAAATCTCGATCCCCTTCAACACTAATAATTAAGAACGAAGAAGAAGAAGAAACATGATTAGCAACGAGTGATTGATTTCGAACGATTCGTTTTAGTATTCATCCCCATCCCATGACCCCTACTCACGTCAACTGTTCCTATGACATTTGCAAAAAGAAGTAGGCTTATATTGATGTGTTTTTGATAAATTACTGCAGGGTCAGTGATCGACCGAGAGAGAGACCAAAAATACTCAATGTATAACAATTTTTTTATCTGACAGTTTGGCCTTTGCCTTATACTCCTCTTGCAACAAAACTGTAACATTGTTACATCCAAACTTGGTAGTATTGCTTACTGAAATTTCAAATTATCAGCTACTTTTGTAAGATGACCTAACCCTTCACAGACTATCTAGTAAGTGAAGCATTTAATAAGTGTAGAAGGAAATGCTGAAAGCGGGAATATAAAAAAGAAGTAGGCCTATATTGATGTGTTTTTGATAAATTTCGGAGAAGTTTATCCATGAATAAAGTTTTGGATTTAAATGAGAACGTAAACGTGGACGTAAAAGTGGACGTGAAATTGGACGTGAAAGTGGACGTGAAAGTGGACGTGAAAGTGGACGTGAAAGTGGACGTGAAAGTGGACGTGAAAGTGGACGTGAAAGTGGACGTGAAAGTGGACGTGAAAGTGGACGTGAAAGGAGGCATGAAATGGGGCGTGAAAGGGGGCGTGAAAGTGGATGTGAAAGGAGGCGTGAAAGTGAATGAGAAAGGGGGCGTGAAAGTGGATGTGAAAGGAGGCGTGAAAGTGAATGAGAAAGGGGGCGTGCAAGGGGGCGTGAAAGTGGATGTGAAAGGGGGCGAGAAAGGGGGAATGCAAGGGGGCGTGAAAGTGGATGTGAAAGGGGGCGTGAAAGGGGGAATGCAAGGGGGCGTGAAAGTGGACGTGAAAGGGGGCGTGAAAGGGTACGTGAAAGGAATCGTGAAATGGGGCGTGAAATGGGGCGTGAAAGTGGATGTGAAAGGGGGCGTGAAAGTGAATGAGAAAGGGGGCGTGAAAGTGGGCGTGAAAGGGGGCGTGAAAGTGGATGTGAAAGGGGGCGTGAAAGGGGGCGTGAAAGGGGGCGTGAAAGGGTACGTGAAAGGGGGCGTGAAAGGGTACGTGAAAGGGGCGTAAAAGGGGGCGTGAAAGGGTACGTGAAAGGAAGCGTGAAATGGGGCGTGAAAGGGGGCGTGAAAGTGGATGTAAAAGGGGGCGTGAAAGGGGGCGTGAAAAGGGGCGTGAAAGTGGATGTGAAAGGAGGCGTGAAAGTGAATGAGAAAGGGGGCGTGAAAGGGGGCGTGAAAAGGGGCGTGAAAGTGGATGTAAAAGGGGGCGTGAAAGGGGGCGTGAAAAGGGGCGTGAAAGTGGATGTGAAAGGAGGCGTGAAAGTGAATGAGAAAGGGGGCGTGCAAGGGGGCGTGAAAGTGGATGTGAAAGGGGGCGTGAAAGTGGATGTGAAAGGAGGCGTGAAAGTGAATGAGAAAGGGTACGTGAAAGGAGGCGTGAAATGGGGCGTGAAAGGGGGCGTGAAAGTGGATGTGAAAGGGGCGTAAAAAGGGGCGTGAAAGGGGGCGTGAATGGGGACGTGAAAGGGGGCGTGAAAGGGGGCGTGAAATGGGGCGTGAAAGGGGGCGTGAAAGGGGGCGTGAAAGGGGGCGTGAAAGGGGGCGTGAAAGGAAAAAAGAAGTAGGCTTATATTGATGTGTTTTTGATAAATTTCGGAGAAGTTTATCCATGAATAAAGTTTTGGATTTGAATGAGAACGTAAACGTGGACGTGAAAGTGGACGTGAAATTGGACGTGAAAGTGGACGTGAAAGTGGACGTGAAAGTGGACGTGAATGTGGACGTGAAAGTGGACGTGAAAGTAGACGTGAAAGTGGACGTGAAAGTGGACGTGAAAGTGGACGTGAAAGTGGACGTGAAAGTGGACGTGAAAGTGGACGTGAAAGTGGACGTGAAAGTGGACGTGAAAGTGGACGTGAAAGGAGGCATGAAATGGGGCGTGAAAGGGGGCGTGAAAGGGTACGTGAAAGGAGGCGTGAAATGGGGCGTGAAAGGGGGCGTGAAAGTTGATGTGAAAGGGGCGTAAAAAGGGGCGTGAAAGGGGGCGTGAATGGGGACGTGAAAGGGGGCGTGAATAGGGGCGTGAAAGGGTGCGTGAAAGGGGGCGTGAAAGGAAAAAAGAAGTAGGCTTATATTGATGTGTTTTTGATAAATTTCGGAGAAGTTTATCCATGAATAAAGTTTTGGATTTGAATGAGAACGTAAACGTGGACGTGAAAGTGGACGTGAAATTGGACGTGAAAGTGGACGTGAAAGTGGACGTGAAAGTGGACGTGAAAGTGGACGTGAAAGTAGACGTGAAAGTGGACGTGAAAGTGGACGTGAAAGTGGACGTGAAAGTGGACGTGAAAGGGGGCGTGAAAGTGGATGTGAAAGGAGGCGTGAAAGTGAATGAGAAAGGGGGCGTGAAAGTGGATGTGAAAGGAGGCGTGAAAGTGAATGAGAAAGGGGGCGTGCAAGGGGGCGTGAAAGTGGATGTGAAAGGGGGCGTGAAAGGGGGAATGCAAGGGGGCGTGAAAGTGGATGTGAAAGGGGGCGTGAAAGGGGGAATGCAAGGGGGCGTGAAAGTGGACGTAAAAGGGGGCGTGAAAGGGAACGTGAAAGGGGGCGTGAAAGGGTACGTGAAAGGGGCGTAAAAGGGGGCGTGAAAGGGTACGTGAAAGGAAGCGTGAAATGGGGCGTGAAAGGGGGCGTGAAAGTGGATGTAAAAGGGGGCGTGAAAGGGGGCGTGAAAAGGGGCGTGAAAGTGGATGTTAAAGGAGGCGTGAAAGTGAATGAGAAAGGGGGCGTGCAAGGAGGCGTGAAAGTGGATGTGAAAGGGGGCTTGAAAGGGGGCGTGAAAGTGGGCGTGAAGGGTACGTGAAAGGAGGCGTGAAATGGGGCGTGAAAGGGGGCGTGAAAGTGGATGTGAAAGGGGCATAAAAAGGGGCGTGAAAGGGGGCGTGAATGGGGACGTGAAAGGGGGCGTAAAAGGGGGCGTGAAAAGGGGCGTGAAATGGGGCGTGAAAGGGGGCGTGAAAGGGGGCGTGAAAGGGGGCGTGAAAGGGGGCGTGAAAGCAAAAAAGAAGTAGGCCTATATTGATGTGTTTTTGATAAATTTCGGAGAAGTTTATCCATGAATAAAGTTTTGGATTTGAATGAGAACGTAAACGTGGACGTGAAAGTGGACGTGAAATTGGACGTGAAAGTGGACGTGATAGTGGACGTGAAAGTGGACGTGAAAGTGGACGTGAAAGTGGACGTGAAAGTGGACGTGAAAGTGGACGTGAAAGTGGACGTGAAAGTGGACGTGAAAGTGGACGTGAAAGTGGACGTGAAAGCGGACGTGAAAGTGGACGTGAAAGTGGACGTGAAAGTGGACGTGAAAGTGGACGTGAAAGTGGACGTGAAAGGAGGCATGAAATGGGGCGTGAAAGGGGGCATGAAAGTGTATGTGAAAGGAGGCGTGAAAGTGAATGAGAAAGGGGGCGTGAAAGTGGATGTGAAAGGATGCGTGAAAGTGAATGAGAAAGGGGGCGTGCAAGGGGGCGTGAAAGTGGATGTGAAAGGGGGCGTGAAAGGGGGAATGCAAAGGGGCGTGAAAGTGGACGTGAAAGGGGGCGTGAAAGGGTACGTGAAAGGAATCGTGAAATGGGGTGTGAAATGGGGCGTGAAAGTGGATGTGAAAGGGGGCGTGAAAGTGAATGAGAAAGGGGGCGTGAAAGGGGGCGTGAAAGGGGGCGTGAAAGTGGATGTGAAAGGGGGCGTGAAAGGGGGCGTGAAAGGGTACGTGAAAGGGGGCGTGAAAGGGTACGTGAAAGGGGAGTAAAAGGGGGCGTGAAAGGGTACGTGAAAGGAAACGTGAAATGGGGCGTGAAAGGGGGCGTGAAAGTGGATGTAAAAGGGGGCGTGAAAGGGGGCGTGAAAAGGGGCGTGAAAGTGGATGTGAAAGGAGGCGTGAAAGTGAATGAGAAAGGGGGCGTGCAAGGGGGCGTGAAAGTGGATGTGAAAGGGGGCTTGAAAGGGGGCGTGAAAGGGTACGTGAAAGGAGGCGTGAAATTGGGCGTGAAAGGGGGCGTGAAAGTGGATGTGAAAGGGGCGTAAAAAGGGGCGTGAAAGTGGGCGTGAATGGGGACGTGAAAGGGGGCGTGAAAGGGGGCGTGAAAGGGGGCGTGAAATGGGGCGTGAAAGGGGGCGTGAAAGGGGGCGTGAAAGGGGGCGTGAAAGGGGGCGTGAAAGGGGGCGTGAAAGGGTACGTGAAAGGGGGCGTGAAAGGGGACGTCGACATAGATCACGATAAGGATGTGGCTGTGGCTATGGCTACAAATACGGCTCCTATGGCTACTGCTATGGGCTCGAATCTATAGAACATTCGTGAGTAAACCCAGCTCTGTTGGGTACCTGCCTTACAAAAGAAGCTGGGCTTTGTGCTTACCACATTACCCACCTGTTTTACGAGGTCATTAAAACACATAAACTCTACTTCGTCTGCCACAAGTGTCTATGACATACACACTGATTATGTTACATAGCAGATCCCCTTTCTATAATTTGTGCACTCAATATAATTTTAATAAAACAATTGCAAACGTGGTCACATGCAAAACTTAATTTGATTTACTTACTATAATTATTCTGTTATTCGAGATAAGTAGTAGATCGACCAGATTCCTAAGTATATAAAGTGTGTTCTGTTACAGTACAGCCGTCACAGCAAAAAATTTGAAAGGGTGGGATAAATAGTGCAACACTACCGTTTGAGGCGATCAAATATCACATAGGGTGTTCATATTTTATTTAGTGACTGCAATTAATGAGTAGCGTGATTTAGATGTGGTTTAATTGTCTGTGTAATACCCGCGACGCCGCCCAACACGCCTGTCTGTCATACACATACTATGGTCTGTCATACGCATGCTACTCTCTGTCATACGCATGTTACTGTCTGTCATACACATTATACTATTTGTTAAAAACGTGATACGTCTGTTAAACATCTGATTGTGTATGGCATATGCATGTTACTGTCTGTCACATGCATACTACTTTTTTGTCATACACATGATAATGTCATTCATCCACCTGATTTTGTCTGTCATGCAGTGATACTGTCTGTCATACACCTGATACTGTCTGTCATACACCTGATACTGTCTGTCATACACATGATACTGTCTGTCATACATATGGTGGTACAACAAGCTTACAACAACAATCATTATACTCTTTGATACATAATTCATGCAATTTTTATTCCAACGAGTGACCTAATATCATATGGCTCATGGCGTGTATTGATTTTCCTTTCTCGCCGCCAGTGAAACGTCATCTAACAACTAGGCGCAATGTCCCCGTGTTGTATGTTCACTTTTCGTATATTATAACCTACTGTTTATGTTGTACTTCGCATTCTATTTGTCTCGGCTAGACCACTAGCCACACATTTGATAATTCTTGGATATTTTAACGATTGTATTCACGGTGAAAAGTTCTTTTTTTTGCCTGTGTGGCATCCTCGTATTTCCTTGCTGTGCTATTGTTTATGCCGATTGTTCATTTGTTTTTTGAGATTTCAAATTCAGTGCCAGTGTACTGAAGTAGCTGTTTTATACAATGTGCCCAAAAGAAAGTCTTTCTTAGTTCTCTTTTGTTTTGCCTTCCAAACAGCAAACTGATATGTCGCTTGCGGGCAAATAGATCTGGTTTAACTCTCTAACGCAGCAGAGAATTTAGTATTGCGCTATTGCTATTGGATACAGAAATAATTAAAATTTTCCACAGCTTTAGAAAATATTTTGACTGCCCATATGAGGGTGATGATGCCGAGTTTGAAATATGTCACTTAAAATAAAATAAACTACAATAAATATAAAAATGTTGTTTAAAAGTACGTTTGTCTTGATTATTGTATTATTATAATAACTCACCCGAACTAAATCTGCTTCAAAAGTTTTAACTTAAGCTGCGTTTATTTTTTATTTTTTAAATTTTTTTTGGGGGGGGGGGGTGAGCCTGGGAGGGGGGTATTCATTTCTCGTGAATAAAAAAAATTACACAAACAAAAGGTTTTGTTATATCTGATAAATTTTAGTGTAAAAACATTTGTCAAACACAGAATCTTGACCTCACTCTATTGACACTACCCTTCACTTTTTACTTCGTAACCTAATTCCGAACGTCTGCTAGCCTTTTCTCTTCCTGGAAAGAAACAACTCCACGATTTAGATTTCTGTTACATTTCACGGTGATTTACCTTTAAAGTTAGTGGGAAGTAAATCTAGGAAGCATTTTCTTTCAGGCATCTCTTTCGGAGGGTGGAGGTGGATTGGGGGGGGGGCGCTTAGCTTTCCCGAAGAATGGCTACCCCCCCCAACGAATATTTACCAGTGTCCGCCTCCACGTCCACCTCCCAGGAAAATTTAGTCACCCCCCCTTAAATGTTTCAAGCCCCCCCCCCCCCCCACCGACCCCTCCCCCACCCCTTATCATTATAATCAAATATTTCATGTATACAATTAATATTATTCAATGCAACCATTCATGTTGATTTTTTAAATCGAGTATTTTATTTGCCTGTATTAAAAACGAAACTGATTTTAAAATTCGGGAACACAGTTAAACTATTTTTATATTGGTTTTTGTTTGCGACAGTGTGTAACGTCGTTCTAGCGTCGTTTAACGTAGGGTGGGTAAAGGAGGGCTAGAAAGTGTGTTGACACACATGTGCTGTTTAAAAAGCGATGCTTGAAACCGTTAATTTGCGGGTTTATTCTGTGGAGGAAAGGGGGGCGGTGTGGGTTTCAAACTGTGTATGTGTGTGTGTTTTTGCATGTGCGTGTGTGTATGCCTGTGTGCATGCATGTGCGTGTGTGTATTTATGTATGTTTGTATATTTCACAAGGATTAATTCAACAAATTTAAAATTGTGAATATTGAAGGCGATACAAGAGCCCCATGCCAAAAGTCGCAACATTTAATTAGAGTTATCTGTCATGTTAGGAGTCCCCCCCTCTCACCCACCCTTTGATCACACCGATGGCAAAACAAAGAAAAAATGAATTAGTATAAAATAAAATAGTATAGTATACTTGCTTAATCTACTTATACTGCTTTTGTAGTTTTCTAACAATTATTTCCTCCCAGCCTGTGTAATATCTTATATCACTTGTTAAACTGTGATCTTTGCAAAAAAAATTAAAACTGATCGTACACATATTAAGCATATAGGCATATAAATATCCTTACACTTCCACACCTAGTATACTATAACATGTCCAACCCCTATGCTGAACTCCACGCCCCCCCCCCTCACCCTGCACAAATTTGTGACCGTTAAATAAGTTTGGAGAGTTTGATCTTTTACACACACAAATTCTCGTGCTACTTCTGACAGGAAACGTGAGTTAAGTATTGAATGATGTTTTTCTAAAACAAATACAACATTAGAACCACTCAACCCGGTATAGCACAAGGTAAACTAGTAGGGCTAATATTGACTTCTTAGTTCCGTGGTGTTGAACAAGTAGAGCATGATCGATTAGTCTTGCTGTAGGTCCCGTGTGACGGTTATTGATTACTGAATATTTATTGAGTTTATTGTTTGATGCATTGATTTTCTGCCTTATTTCTAGTATGTTTTTTTTTTCAATCTTCCTTAATGAATATCGTGTCTGTTGATCAGTGCAGACTGCTGTGACGATGCGCCTGTTGAGGTAAATATCCCAATTTCAGGTTTACTTATATTTTGTTTCATTAGTTAATTTATAATTGGTGTGGTCTACTTCTTATTTTAACACCGAACACATGTGTTTATATTTTGGTAAAAAAAATTCTTTGCGTTTCAACGAGCCTAGTAAATAAAAAAAAATCTTGCACGATGAGTTGATTGCTGGCCGACTTAGCTGTAATATACCCACATCATGGATTTTGTCATGCATTACATTGTATATCTGATACCAACAAGAATGTATACTTGACCAGGCTAGGCGGTTTTACATGATTCTGAAAAACAATAAAAAGCTGCAGTTATAAGCTTACGGTTAAACGACTAAGTGAAGATACTTGGCTTAAAAAGAAACAGTTATTACAGCATGTCACAAAACTGTAAGTATCTTCCGTGTAATTTTTAAAAATATTGTTTAGTGTTTGCATATTGATGAAAAGGAAACATTCCCTAAATTATTAAAATCTAGAAATTAAAGCGGGGTGAGGTAATAAAAAAGTAAAGTTTCCCTTTCAAACCTGACGGTCTATGGGGCAAGTGAAGTAGAGTTCACTTGTTTCTGTGACCTCGGCATATGAAGAGATAGTGTGGTCAGCACTATGCCCAGCCGCCTTTACTCTCCCTAACGTGAGTTAGGTACCCATCAGAGTTGGGTAGACTCAGGGACGGTCTACTGGCTTGAACCCGGATTCGAACTCGAGACTTACGGGTTAGCAGCCCAGCTCTCTACCGCTAGACCACTCCGTCCCGGGTGAGGTAATAGATCACTTTAAATTCGTCTAAATTGGGTGCTTCTAACGTATATGTTGTAAAATCGTTCTTTCTGCATCATCTACATATTGGGAAGTTATCGATTTATCAGCACGATGGTAATCCGCATGTATTATTCCTCAATTTTCTCAGGTGCCCTTCACAGCGGTAGATTATATAATTCGAAATTAACAAACTTTTCAAGGAGACAATGCGTTTTTTAATACATTGGTTTAAATGTAATCATGCATTCATAGTCTGTTAGAGATGGATGATATCTTTACACAGCAAAACAAAAAGCATTATTTGAAAAAAAATTGTTCCGAAAACAAAATCCGTTTAAACACAACTCATTACTTTGTATTATTGTCCAAAAGTCTAAAAAAAATGTTTCTATAACCTTTGGCGGGCTAATGTTTTAGGCTTATGTGAGTCTTAACTCTCCACACCACGTGGCCGTTTGTCATTTCGGCCTTTTGTCTTTTCGGCCTTTTGTCCGGATCCCAATATTTAGAGCTTCTATAACTGTAGCCACTGAATAGTCTATTACGGTTAACTATTTTTTCCGCATGAGTTCATCACTAGATCAGATTAAACAATTGATTGAATGAGTATACGTGCTTATTGTTTCGAGTTTGTTTAAAGTGTTGGATGTTCTTTCATCCCCCCTCCCTCAATGTATCAACAAATCAAGTGAACCCACTACATCCATGGCTGGAGATTAAGCGCCGAGCCAAGTTAGCGTACAGAGAGGGGAGTTACCTCGCTGCTTGTGACCTTTATACTCAGGCTATTACTGCTTTAGAAGCTAGCGCTGAGGTCCATGTGGTCAGTATCAACACAGGTAAGTTGCTGATGTTCTATTACAATTATGACGGTTTTCTTCAGATTTCAAAGGTTGTGAAAGGCTTATGTGTCGACATATCGTAAATATGTTAATAACCAGTAATCATCATATAGGATGTTGTAAATACTTTCTCAAAGGTATTTTCCGGTCACATTTAAATGTGTCGGGAGAAATACTTATTATGTAATGATCTTTCTCTTGAGATATTACGTGCGTGAGATATTTTGTCTGGAATGATTTGTCATATAACCTAGCTTTTTAAAAAGAGTTTTTTTAAGCTAAATCTCAATATTGAAACATTTATTCTTTTCCATAGCAATCAAATAGCCATAAAAAATATAATCACAAAGTAGGATTAAGGTGCTACCTCGTTTAATTTACATCCCAACCAGTGCAGTATGCAGGAACTTGTGTAAGGGTTTTTTTAAGAAGAATATACGATTTTTATACCGTTTATTTGTTGTTTTTATGCATTCAACATTTTAAATGCTGTCATAAAGCGCCATGAGCGCAATTTTTCCAATATCTGGAACTAGACAATTTTAATTTGGATATGGGTTGGGGGTCTGACCTCACCTTACCCACCCTTGCATACGCATCTAATCCCAATCTCCCCCCTCCCCCCTCCCAACAACACGCCTCTTTTATTTCTACCCATTGACAAACGAGATCGGCAAATCAATAGCTTGTATAGCTAGCTCAATTAGTTTTAAAAACGTATTATGCAGTACAAAAGCAATTGTATGGCTAAATTCTAAACATCACTCCCCAGTACAAGCCAATGCTTGCCTCAGTGTTCTGTACGGTAACCGTTGAGTACCCACCCCATTGTATCGCTACCTTCTAACATTTACTCCCCAGTACAAGCCAATGTTTGCCTGTACGGTAACCGTTGAGTACCCACCCCATTGTATCGCTACTTCTAACATTTACTCCCCAGTACAAGCCAATGTTTGCCTCAGTGTTCTGTACGGTAACCGTTGAGTACCCACCCCATTGTATCACTACCTTCTAACATTTACTTCCCAGTTCAATCCAATGTTTGCCTCAGTGTTCTGTACGGTAACCGTTGAGTACCCACCCCATTGTATCACTACCTTCTAACATTTACTCCCCAGTTCAAGCCAATGTTTGCCTGTACGGTAACCGTTGAGTACCCACCCCATTGTATCACTACCTTCTAACATTTACTCCCCAGTACAAGCCAATGTTTGCCTGTACGGTAACCGTTGAGTACCCACCCCATTGTATCACTACCTTCTAACATTTACTCCCCAGTTCAAGCCAATGTTTGCCTGTACGGTAACCGTTGAGTACCCACCCCATTGTATCACTACCTTCTTACATTTACTCCCCAGTACAAGCCAATGCTTGCCTCAGTGTTCTGTACGGTAACCGTTGAGTACCCACCCCATTGTATCACTACCTTCTAACATTTTACTCCCCAGTACAAGCCAATGTTTGCCTGTACGGTAACCGTTGAGTACCCACCCCATTGTATCACTACCTTCTAACATTTACTCCCCAGTACAAGCCAATGTTTGCCTGTACGGTAACCGTTGAGTACCCACCCCATTGTATCACTACCTTCTTACATTTTACTCCCCAGTACAAGCCAATGCTTGCCTCAGTGTTCTGTACGGTAACCGTTGAGTACCCACCCCATTGTATCACTACCTTCTAACATTTACTCCCCAGTACAAGCCAATGTTTGCCTGTACGGTAACCGTTGAGTACCCACCCCATTATATCACTACCTTCTAACATTTACTCCCCAGTACAAGCCATTGCTTGCCTGTACGGCAACCGTTGAGTACCCACCCCATTGTATTACTACTTTCTAACATTAATTTTACTCCCCAGTACAAGCCAATGCTTGCTTCAGTGTTCTGTACGGTAACCGTTGAGTATCCACCCCATTGTATCACTACCTTCTAACATTTACTCCCCAGTACAAGCCAATGTTTGCCTCAGTGTTCTTTACGGTAACCGAGCCCAATGCTGGAACAAGTTAAGGGACGTAAACAAATCCTTGCTAGACGCTAAGAAATGCGCAAACTTGCGCCCCGACTGGTAGGCCTACAAGGTATTTATATCTGCATATCTCTCACTGAATTTATTTGACTTTCCTGACTGGTCCGGATTTAATTTACTTACTGTTATCTCCTATCGAATCTGCAATTTACAAATATGTATGCCTGCTTTCGTTTGAACAATGTCTAGATTTATTGAATTATTTTTTTTTAGAAAAATGATGCGAAAAATAAAAGTAAAACAAAATATATTTAGTTCATTGCCCGTAAGGGTGAGTGGGGAGGGGTAGACATTAATTAATATTATTAGATGATCCATGATGTTTAACCTGTCCTTTAATGTTATTTTTTAGACTGCTAACCGTCAGGTTCGAAAAAACTGAATTTACTTTTATTTATGTTATATATCGCCGAGGGTAAGATCCTCTCCAAAATGTATCAACAAACAATACTAACACAACAAATATAATGTGCACTCGTGGTGTACGCAAGTGACAAAATGTACGGTACAAGTTAATTGGACAGTAACCTAAAGAAGGTTCATTAGATAAAAATGTAGCTTAATTTACAGGTATATGCGTGGTTTGAAAATAATACCGCATTCATGATGGTAGCGGCGAACTGAAGTTGGACTTTTATGACGTTGGAGGAAGAGCGATTAATTAAGCAGTGGAGGGCGGGGATGAACGTGGCGTCCATATTTTTGCATAGTAATGGGTCTGCAGTAGATATGGAATCTGAATCTTTTATTTTTACGTATCTTCTTACCGTCTTCGTTAATACCACGGTGGTATTCTAGTCATAAATACCTAAATTTAAACAAATGTTTTGTCTTGTTGAATCACATACACTTTACATTCAACAAATGTCCCTTATCCGTCGTTAGGGACATTTGAGGGTGGCCAGGGCTTACGCACAACGTGGGAGTCTGCAGAAAGCTGTCCTAGCTTTAGAAAACGGCTACAGGGTGCTGACGTCACATGATGACGACACTATTAGACGTCAAATTCTCCACGAGCTGGTGGAAACAGGACAACATGTCGGTTAGTTTTATGTTCAAATTCACAGTAAAATTTTGTGCGCAGTTTAAATTTGGCCATTGAAATAAAGGTTTGACAAAATATACATTTATTTTTGCATTATATATATATATATATATATATATATATATATATATATATATATATATATATATATATATATATATATATATATATATATATATATATATATAGGCCTATATATATATATATATATATATATATATATATATATATATATATATATATCGATAGTAGTGATTATATTTATTATACAGATTGTAAGTTAATTAAATGCAAGTAAAATTAGATTTTTATCTAAAAGCTGTTTACTTAAATAGTGTAACACCAAAGTTAATTTTAAATCATACTTCTCCAAAAAAAATTAATCACATGAATTATTAATTATAACAATAAAGAAGTGAAGTTCATAAGAAAAACTAAGTTGTTGAACAAAAAGGTCTTTGAGTTTTGTTGATGAAAATTGAACATATTTTTTTTCCTAAAGAAAACCAAATCTCTGAAGATCTGATAAAAAGTGTCCCAGCATCTTTATGGTCTCAGGTCATCTACTTGTACATTGACAGTAAATTCCAAGATTGGAGAGTTGCTGAGTTTATTGTGAACAAGGCTTGGAAAATTGAAACTTGTTCCGCTAGTGATATACAGCCCTTAAAATTTGATGTTGATTTAGGCCAGTTTTGTAAATATGATCAGCTAAGTACAAAAACACAGTGAGTTAAATTTATACTATAACCATAATATATTATGTCTACTAAAATTTCATCTATACCAAGTTATTTTACTTTTAAAAAATTAGTTTTAGATTAATTTTCTAAAAATTTTGAAAAGTTTATATCTACCTAATTTTGCAGCTTTCCATTAAATAATTTTCAAAATGTATATTTTTTTTAATTACAGTTTTTTTTAATATAAACATAATGAACAATGTTTAATGCTAAGTTAAAAATACTATATAAATGCTTTTTAAAATGTAAGTATTTTTAAAGATTTAAACTTTGTCCCCATGCTAATAATTTTTTCATGTAGATGGGTGTGTCGTCTGTTGCTATGGTACTTACAATCAGGCTGTGATCACTTACAACTCAAGTTTCACCCTGGAGACACCTACTTCCATGCTACAGTCACAATTGTTGTGTTAACAGCCGAGACTCTTACCATGGAAGTCATGAGCCTGCTTCAGCATGTAGTGGAGAACATTGTCCTGGTCAACAAGGAAGAAAACATTGTAGATGATAAAGGCAACACTGTGTTGCACCATTTGGCTACACTAGATGTAGGCAGATTTCAAGGGTTCTCATTCTGTATTTAACATATTTAGCCATATAACTTAAACTGTTATAATTCACACTCTGTACCATCATTTGATAACACTAGATGTAGGTAGATTTCAAGGGTTCTCATTCTGTTCTTGCCATATTACTTGAACTGTTATAAGCCAAACTCTGTACTGCCATTTGATAACACTAGATGTAGGTAGATTTCAAGGGTTCTCATTCTGTCATTACCCTATTTAGCCATATAACTTAAACTGTTATAATTCACACTCTGTACCATCATTTGATAACACTAGATGTAGGTAGATTTCAAGGGTTCTCATTCTGTTATTGCCATATTACTTGAACTGTTATAAACCAAACTCTGTACCATCATTTGATAACACTAGATGTAGGTAGATTTCAAGGGTTCTCATTCTGTTGCTTCCATATTACTTGAACTGTTTTAATCCACTCTGTGTTGCACCATTTGGTTACACTATATGTAAGTAGATTTCAAGGGTTCTCATTCTGTTGTTACATGAACTCTTATAATCCATACTGTGTGCCATCATTTGTTTAAACTAGATGGAGATAGAGTTCAAGGGGTATTCATTCTGTTACCATTGCTAATTTTGAAAACAGCTGGTTGAAATGAGTGATTTTATACCATCGCAGTGGGTGGAATTCAAAGGTTACTAAACAATATCCTTGTTACAATATCTCTGCTTGTTATAGAAATGTTGTACATAACTTTTTAAATTCTATTTTTAAAGATGGTAGTGAAACAGATATAACACAACTATACATTAAGTAATTAACTCTGACAATAGGTTTGTATATTTTCTATACAATGTTATTTCAACAAATATATTACATAAGCATTCAAGTCCCAAAGTGTTCTTTTAGTTTGTCTAATAAAAACATATAATCCATTCTTCCATGTGACAAATTTGACTTAACGTGACGATAATTAATTTCAGGTTTTAATTTTCTATTTTTATATCTAAATATTTCATCTGTATCAACATTTATAAAGCGCCACCCGTCAGCTGAAAATGTTTTGATTCATCTACTTGACAAAGGCTTTGATATTGAGAAGAAAAACAATGAAATGAAAACAGCTTTACAAATTGCCACAGAGCCAGATTTTTCAAAAATTTTATTGAGAGAAAGTGAGTGTCATATCTTTATTAACTATGTCTCCAAATTTGCAAGATAATTCAGGGTAAACATGCAGTATAAGATATAATGCAGCCAAACAGTAGAACTAAATCTGCCAGAAACTTCTACTTGTATAATATCTCCTTTAGCAAATATAATTGTTTTTACAATTATTAACAATGAAAGCTTGTAATGGTAATTTTAAAATGTTCTGTTTGTTATTTCATACAGATGCAAAAAGGTTGATCACCATGATAAATAGTAATTACAACTTAAACCAACAAGAAACAGATACAAAGGACAACTCAAAATTTAATGATTTAATTAATATCATTTCATCTGCTTCTCCACAAGGTAGGAGCCTACACTAAATTTTAACAACAGACAATTAAAAAAACAAATATTAAATCCCATTTTTATAAATTAATTTTCATATTATTTTTTCCAAAATATAGAAAAAGTAAGAAAACATAATATTATATTTGAATTGATTCTGAATTTGATTATTTCCTTTAACAAAAGTTTACAACATTGATTTAAATTTGTAAAAAATCTCCAGCCACTTTGCCAGAACTGCTCTGTTTAAATGATCAAGCCTATTTAAAATTGTTGACATGGTTGGCCACATCAAAAAGTTGGACAATGGTCTTAACTTTATTTAAAGAGAGGATTAAAATGGGAAATGCTGAAAAGTTTGGATACCTTGCTAAAGGCATTTCTATTTTAAACCCTATCAAAGAAGCTAAACAAGTTTGTCCTGAATCTATAAAGATTGATCTTGTGAAACATCTTGCTGCAGTTAAAGCAGTTTTAATTGAACCATCAATGCTGCTAGCTTGCTTAGAAAATAAAGAATGGCAGGTAGATCTAATTTCCTGTTATTGCGTTTTTGACATAATTAATTTAAAGTATGGTACTTAAGAGTATGACATAGTGCTTAATGTAGGTGATATTAATGGTTTTTTTTTTTTAAATTATCCAGCTAGCAAATACTCTATTAGATCTGGGAGCTGATCCTAGAAAGCTATCACTAACAGATGGGGACACACCAAACCATGCAGCATTAAACATAGGCCTGTATAAAACCCAAGGTATTAGCTACATAAACAAACTATTTTAAGTTTATAATGTTTAGCAAGTCACTGACTTTTCTATTGGGTGATTGTTATGGGGTTGGCTAAGTATATCTATATGCAACAAAATCTAAGACTATCTTGAAGTATGTTAAAGGGATTTTTATCATATCTAATTTCTGTGGACTCAAAGAATAACAACATGAACATTGATGTTAATATACAGATCATTTAATTTATCACACAAACTAATTCCACTGTCAAATTAACCAAATTCACTACCATTTAGTTAAGAATTATTTTGTTATCTTTGTGTTCTACTAAAATAATTTAAAATTAACTTATTGCAGGTGATTTTTCTATCTTAAAGACATTGAGAAGATTATACCAAGAAAACAAAAACTTAAATAAAGTTCTTAACCTATCAAAAGTTGATAAAGCAGGGAATACAGTTTTCCATCTAGCTAGTAAGGTATATAAAAATTAAATTCAGTCATGACATTTAGCAATGGTTTTTTTGGAAGAGTACAAACATTATTTGTATTTTATAGGCATCTTTAAAAGAGCTGAATAAAATAATGAATTGTCTTTAGGAAAGCTAGTAAAATGTTTTTTTTTAATATAAAACTTCGTAGAAAGAAAGTTAATTAAATACTGCCTATCTATTTGATATTCATGTTATCCTTTTATGTATATACAATAATATTCTGTTTGAAATTCTTTATATAAATTTATTAGTTATATGGTTTATACCCTTATTGATAGGAAATTATGATGTCTGCATCTAAAAAATTAACACATTAATAACATTGATGATAAACTACATACACCGGGCTTAACAAATTTTATTCAGAATTTAAGTTCTAGTTAAATTCATGTCAATTTTTATTGCAATTCATTATCTAATATGTTTAATGTCTAAGGCACATCGGAATAAACATTCACTTAGTGCAGTTAAACTCTTATGTGAGTGGAAAGTAAAATACAATGTAAAAGATGCTACTGGGAAGTTGCCAGGTTTCTATTTGACAGAAAAAGATAAAAGATACACATGTCTAAAATCTTTACCTGATTTTGTAGACAATAAAGGTAAGTGATCCATGCTAAACATGTTTTAGGTTGGACTAGGCATTTAATTATTTTTTTTAGAAAAGTAAAATTTGTGTAAGTTTGGAATTAAAATTGGACTTTCTGTTTTATGATTTTGTTTTTTTCAGAAGCACAAGAAAATGACAAAATATATTCCAAAATTGAGGTACTCTTTTAAAAATTCATTTTTTAAAATACATTTTAACAAATAGTTGTGATTTCTTAGATAGTTTTAAATAAATATTTTTATATCATACTTTAGTGTGAAATCTCAGTTGTTTTTTTTTGTAATTTTTGATAGATATATAGAAAAAAGGCAATTACTGTTTTGGAAAAAATGGAGGATTTTAGAGGTTTTCTTACACCAAAAGGCAGTACAAATGAATATTTAGAGAATTTTCAAGATTTAGATAAAGAGGAAGAAAAATATACAAATTGCAATATCAGTGAAGGTATTATTTTTCCTCATGTTTAATAACTGAAAAATACTAGACATTTTTCTTTGAAAAAAGCTAAAATATATCTCAAGCCTGATACAAAACATAAAAAAAAATGAATTCACAATAATTTGATATATTTACTATTATAATTTTAGTAGTCTATTACATAGCATTAAAAAAAGTATTGATTGTTTATTTAAAGATTTCAATTTGTGAGATTCTTATTTTATTCAAACTGTTCTGAAACATATGATATTATAAACCTTTTGATGTAAATAATAAATATATATATGAATCTAAAATTAGAAGCAACACAAGAAGAAATGCCTCTTGAAGGTTTATCTGCTTATGAAGATGCGATGATTGATCCAATACAATTTGATTCAATGGAGTGGGATGTTGATTGCACTGGTTTGTACAAATGTTATCAATATTCTGAAATAATTTATTTTTCTGATAAATATAGGACACTAATTAAATAAAGTATGTAACATTTTTTTTTTCAGAGCTAGTGTGGAATTTATTAAAATCTACCTCAGAAAACCAAGAAAAGAGAAATAGGGTTTCTTCTGATGAAAGTACTTCCAGAAAGACACCCAGAATTAATCTTCCACAAGCCATGAAAAATTTGATCATGTTAAAAATTAAAGACTTATGTATTGGTGACTGGGCAGCTTGTAAAAAGGTATATAAATTAGAGTTTTATTATAAACAGTTGCCCAAAGTTTATAGTTTAACTAGGATCATAATGTGTTATGTAAATGCAATTTGGCAAAATAATAACCTTATATTTAAATTTTGTCTTACTAGAAAAGACAACACTTATAGTAATTAATTGTAGCTTATTTCAATATCTTGCACACAAACTTTAAAAGTATATTAATTGAGTTTCTTATATCTGAGATATACTAAGCATATTATTTTCTTAATTAGACAATAAATACACTGATTATTTGTTTGTGTTTTTCTTTTTTAGGGAAGGGGTGCTTTTTAAAGATGTTTTTTGTTTGTTAAGATAATTTGGGAACAGGGCATTACCCCCCCTTGGCAATTACCCCTGGACACTCCCCCCCCCCCCCAGAATAATTACCCCCTGTCAATTATCCCCCCCCCCCCCACACCCAGTAGGACAATACCCTGATCCCCCCATGAACATGTATAATGTACAACTAGGTTTAGGGTTAGGGCAATGGCTATGGTTAGGGTTGGGATTAGGATTTGGGCTTGGGCTAGGGTTAGGTTTAGGTTCAGGTTTAGTGTTATGGTCAGGGTTAGGGTTAGGGCTAGGATTAGGATTAGTATTATGGTCAAGGTTAGGCTTAAACTAATGTCTAGAGATGGTTTTGGTTGTGTGTTAAGTTTTAGGCTGAGGTGAATGATTCGGTTTTGGTCTTTTTCTTAAGGTTAGATTAAAGATAATATATGGGTGTAGAGTTTGAGTTAGAGTTTTGATTCTAACTTGAAGGGGGTAATTGACAGGGGGGGGGGGGTAATGTCCTGTAGACAGATAATTTATAAAAAATTTGTATTTGCATTGTGAAATTAAAATTGTTCATTTTTTTCTAATTTTAAATGTAACAACATATGCTTTTAAAAAATCTGTAACCAACTTTGCTATATCAAAACAAGTACTAAACACCAAATCAAAGATTCTTGAGGTTGTTAGGAAACCTTGAAGACATTCAATATTTGAAATGTTTTCAATTATTAAAGCTCCAATGTTTAAATTACAACAATCAGAAATAATATAGCCTACTAATTAATTTTCCACTTTTGTCGTTTATATTTTGAAATGGAAAATAATTTTGATTCCTTATGTTAGCTTATATTAAAACCCTTAATTTACATGACAATCTAAGGGGTCATCCATAAATGATGTCACACACATAGGGGGGTGGGGGGTACATAATTTTGTGACGGAGTGTGATGAAGGGGGAGTGTGGTTTCAGATGGTGCGACATCACACTTTTGCATCATAAAAAAGCAACGTTAGAAAATGAATTTTAGACGTTATTTTACGTTATAGAAAACTGTTTTAATAAATTGCAATAGGAATTGATTAAAGTACTCTATTTTGACAGAGTTCAGACAAGATTTTGGAAAAATATCGATATTTTAAGAAAAATTCAGCTGCAATTTTGAGGGGGGGGGTTGTAGGCTGAGGTGTGACGTCATTTTAGGGGGGGGGGGGGTAAAAATCATCCAAAAAGTGTGACGTCATTTATGGATGACCCCTAAGAGGTAGGAGAATTTTACAGTTAAAAAATCACAAATATCTAACAAGTGTTATAATTTTATAATGCAAATAACTTGATTGTATATTATTATTTCAACTCTTGAAAATGAGAAAAATTCTAAAAATATGGTAAATAATGGAAGCTAGTGGTATGTAAATCTATTGCAAATTAATAGTAGATTAAAAATAATAAATCTGCATAAAAATATAAGTATACCTAATGTCAGTGATTAAAAAAGATTAATGTTTAAGTTAAGAAGCAATAGGTTTTAACAGGAAAATTCCAGCATTTAAATTATACAAATTGTTTAGTTAAGACAATTTAAAATACTTTTATCTAGTAGTATACCCAATACATATAATATTATCAAAGTCATCTGAAGGGTTGATAGGGTCAAAGAATGTGCTTATTAAATATTTTTTAAAAACTTTAGACTTCTACTTAGATTATTTTCATAACAGAAGCAGTTCATAAATGCAAAAAATATAAAGTGATATGAAAATAAAAAAACTCAAATGCTAAAACTACTTTAAAATTTGTTTCTAGATTGATGATGTCCCTTCCACACTGCTGTTGTATAGCCTTCCTCTACCAATGGATGCTTGTATATTGTGGGAATGCATTATTGCTTTTTCACCCAGACTTAGCCATACATTCACTATGAAAAACTCATCTTCCAATGCTCCAACAAATGGAAAGATATTCTCTCAACACATTCTTATCAGAGATATTGTTTTTGAAAGTTCTGACCTACCAGCTGCTATTGAGAAAGTTATTATCTCACACCAAAAAAGTCTAGCCAGCAAAGCACAGGTAAAAATAAAATATTTAAAAAAATAAAAACAATTATTTTTTTAAACATCCTAAACCATACTTTTCCTATTGTTATAAAAAATATAATTATGTGGAAAAAAGAAGGAACAAGAACATTTTTTTAAAAGATAATAATTATTTACAATTATGTATAACATAATTTTACCTTTTGAATATTCAATAAAAATAGACTAGAATGAGCTCTATTAGTTTTTTTTTTTAAATATTTTATTTATATTTTTCAGAAAATTCTTAAAACACAGATCTACAAAAGTAGAAATAAATCTAACACAGATACAAAGCATCTACCGTTAACTTATACTGAATGTGATTTGGCTCCAGAAAAAATTGATGGAAAAAAATATGTCAATTTCTACCTTCCTGCAAGCTCTCATTTAAAAGAATACACAATGTTAAAGTTCTACCCTTTAAACTCTTTAATGGCAGAAGCAATCATGAGAAATAGTGATTCAGAGGTAGGAAAATGTATATTTAAATAACTGCTTCATAATAATATCATAAAGTAGAGTAGTAAGATTTGCAGGTTCCCCAACCCAAATGTTGTGGGCTGAAATTCAGTTGAAAGGATATGCTCAGCTCATGTTTTTAGGATAGCTGTTAGTTAACAGAGAACATTTTTTAAACAAATAGCCTGTACCATTAAACACATAGGAAATGTATATTACAGATGAAAACCCTCTAGTCTCAAGTGCACACTTCTACTCTGACTACAATTATGCAAGATAAAAACTCTAGGAGGACATAAATACAACCTTCTTCTTCGACAAAAAACAAGGCTCACAAAACCTTATGTACTTCCTTCTATCATCAACTTACCTACCTACCATACTTTTGACACAAAATTTACAGCTAAACAATTACTCTCCTACCTACCTAAACAACACACTGCTTTAACTTTATAACAAGTAGGGCCTATTTCTAAACATATTATATATATATATATATATATATATATATATATATATATATATATATATATATATATATATATATATATATATATATATATATATATACCATGATCAGACCTTACTTCTAACTTATTATGTTTGATATTTTGAATTCATTCATTATTTAATGCTTAATTTGTTATTCTGTTGACCTGTTTGTTTTCATTCATTTTATTTAAAATATATAGATTGACCTCCCTTTTCAAGTGACTGACATTGAACACAGCATCATACATTTGGAGCATAATTCACCTATTCTTTTACTTGGTCGTAGTGGAACAGGCAAGACCACATGTTGCCTTTATCGACTGTGGGCAAGGTATTTAAATGACAGAATGCAAAGTCAACAGCTGAAGCCCAAAGTATTGCCTGAAGAATATTACATGGAAAGTAAGAAATTCACTCATATATTCATAGCAAGAATATTTTAACCCTTTGATCCCTGGCCTCCCTGGCCTAATTTCTCCCATTTCCTGAGCTCCCAGGGCCAAACCAATTTTCACTTATCTGCTTCTAACTTTGCCTATAACTTTTGAACCGTTTGAGATAATCAAGCCAAATTTGGTATCCAATAATGCAGCAAGATTCTGAAATTCTTTATTTTTTCACAATGTATGAACAGAACAATGTAATTAAAACGAACACATAATTATTATCAACACCAAGGAGACTGAAGTTTTACAGCACCACATGCATCAGAACATGCTTGAACAGTTTCATGTCAATGTCACTGTGTTCAGTCTCAAATTCAACGTCAAAATCATCACAATATAGACCAGGAATATTATCTTCTTCATCAGAATCAATAAGTAGTTGTATTGCCTGAGATACAGTCATTCTACTTCTTTTGTTCATATTTCGGTCTTTTGCTTCATCTTTTGCACCAACTTTATGTGCTGAAGTCGATGGCTGTGGCTCAGCTTTTCGTTTCGGCAGCATTGCTACGAAATGTAAGCACTTTCACTTTTCCTAAAATCTATTTTTAGAATAATAATCCCACACTTAAAAGACATAAGAGCAGTTTTAGTCAGTCTTCCGCTAATAATATTTAATTAGATGGTATACTGGCTGCTCGGAATATGACACTAGATCATCGGGCTGGAAAATCGGCTTTTCAGAAATATACACCTAATGTTGAAGCCGGTTTACCGGCCTGGTGGGCTCAAAGGGTTAATATAGTTATATTCTTACCTCTAATTTTTAACGTATGTGTTTAGTAAAATATATTTCATATATTTGATTATATGTGATTGTAGGAGTTTTAAAAGAAATATTTTATCTAGTAAACTTTAAAATTATTTTTGAAGGTTTTTTACCATCTGGTGGATCTGATCAAAATGAATTTATGGACGAGAAAGAGGATGAGGATGTTGATGATTATGAGTATCTCCATCAAGTAATGACACTAGAAATAATTTTTTTTTTTTTATTAAAAAAAGTTTGTTGGTAACATTAATCGGAATGGAAAAGAAAGTAGGTGCTTTTTCATTTTAGATTATTGACATTCTTTATGAGTGTCAATGATGTCAGCAATTGCCGTATTCATTGTTTAACAAATGCTAAAACAATATTAGATTAAAATATTGTTTTTTTCAAATTCTAGGTGTTCATAACTAAAAGTTATGTACTGTGTGCAGAGGTCAAAAACAAATTCCAAAAATTATGTAAATCATCTAAAGTAGCAGAAAAAGATGATGAAATACCACATAATTTACAGGTATGCTATAATAAGAGTTTTAATATAAAAATGTATTTAAAATTAATTACTTCTAATGGTACAGCATTTTAAAAATGTAGTTACATTTAAAAATCAATTGACATTAAAAGTTAAACAAATTGATTATCTTGTAATTTAGTAATAGGTAAATATAAGATAAGGCGTTTTATTAATTGTTTTTATTAATTGTAATGAAGAATAGAAATCATTTGAAAAAGCAGACCTACTTCAGAAATATTTTTATGATTTATTCAGAAAAACTTAGAAAAAAGGAGATAATTTTTTTTACAAGCAATCATGAAAACTCATATCATATTTCAGCTACATGTATTTTTTAAAAAGAAGCATTTAACAAAACGTGTTCTAATTATTTTTTAGTTTCAGAATTTAGAGGACAGAGACTACCCATTATTTTTTACATCAAAGCAATTACTTCTTATTTTGGATGCCTCTGTAGATGGCCAACCATTTTTCCCAAGAGATGAAAAACTCACACCAATGCCAGGCTGGGAATTGCTTGAGGGAAATCTGAACACTATGCTGGCAAAAAATGTTTTAGATGGTAAAGCCATTTTCAATTTTAAAGAATTTTTTTATATATTTATATATAAATATATAAATGATATATATATATATATATATATATATATATATATATATATATATATATATATATATATATATATATATATATATATATATATATATATATATATATATATATATAGTTTATATTTCTTTAGTTGTTTCTTTTCTGCTTTCAATTAAAAATTTTGACTGCTATAACTGATTTTAAAATATAAAATATTCCATTCCATTCAAAGTATATTTTTTAACAGCTACAAGGAAAACAAATAAAGAATCCACTCCCAATAATCGGAGAGCCAAAAAAATTAAGAAATCACTTAAAGAATGTACTTATGATGTATTTTCAACAGAAATATGGCCTAAATTTGACAAAAAAAAGGTAATTGACTTTTTTGAAACTTTTTTTAAAACATAATTTTTAACTGGAATATTTTTACAAACATTAAATAAAATTGATTTCATTTTCTTAAGATAAACAATCCACACATGTGGCTCAAGTTTAGAAACTCATTTGTGAAATCAATAGTCACATAGTCAACAGGTTTAATTAATAGAGTACTAAAAGAAAAAATGTAATAAGTATAAAAATAGTCATAGATGAGTATTTAACTATTAAAGTATCTACTTTAAACTTTGAGCAATGGCTGTGTTGTGCTTAATATAATATAATAAAATAATTTTGACAGGGGCCTGCAAGTTACTACTTTATTAAAATAAATAACAAATTAATGCAAACTCTTTATTTATGGTAACATAAGTAAAAGTGTATAATTGTTAACTTTTTTAATAATTTTAGTTATGTATAAAAGTTCATTATTATAAATGCTAACATACATAGACTATGATTATAATTAAAATTTCCTCAAATTTCACCTATTTCAGACAAAAAAGTTCCACCCTTCCCTCGTGTGGACTGAAATCATGTCCTTCATCAAAGGTTCATACGAGTCACTCTCCTCTGAGCAAGGATTCTTATCAGAACGTCAGTACCAATCTGTTGGACAGAAGAAAGCACCTAACTTCACTGCTGATCGCTCTGAAATATATGAAATTTTCCAGCTCTACAACTCATATATAAAAAACAATAACATGTTTGATGAAATTGATGTGGTTTCTAATATTTATCACAGGTTAAAACATGTAAGTCAAATAACTATGGAGAAAACCCATATGAAACAAATTTTTTAAACATTTGTTGAAATTTTTGGTTTAAACTTTTATGAATGACCATATAATTAGTAAGTTCAGTAAATAATTGTTTCTAACTACATTTTAGGTTGTGATATTTACTTCAAATTTGTCTTGAATTTTATTATTTGAAATATTTAACTCTTGAGTTAAAAGTTATTTTTAAAAAATAAAGTACAATTTTACTTGATAAAGTATCATTTTTAAATAATTGATGGTTAAAATATATAAATTAAATGTATATATCATTCTCAAATTTAATTCAATAATTTTGTCATGTGAACACTTTAGATGCAGAACGTTCCTTGGACATTTCATGAGATCTATGTAGATGAGACCCAAGACTTTTCACAGTGTGAGCTGGCTCTGCTTGTCACTTTATGTCATAACCCAAATAACATGTTCCTTGCTGGGGATACTGCACAGTGTATTATGCGGGGAATTTCTTTCCGTTTCTGTGATCTCAAGTCATTGTTCTATTTTGTCGATCAATCTCGACATAGGAAGAAAAATAAATCTTCCCAAATTGAGGTAATTTGAAATATGGCTAAATAGAAGAAAATAGAAAATAGCTAATTAAAATTGCTGAATCCAACATCCAATTTTATGTTTTACCCTACTCAAAACCTAATTGACAATTAATGAAAAAATAAGAATTTTAAGAAACGATTTAAATAATATAGTTACATCTAATTATTGTGTGTTGGTCATGTATATTTTTTAAGTTTAATATTTATATTTTTAACTCAAAAGTATTTTATTTAAGTTATTTAAACATTACTAAAGCTCTATTTACAATAAGTACATTTTAGTAACAAACAATAATGTATCTTCTTACTTAATAACTACAGCTTGAACATTTAACAATCAACTACCGGTCGCATGCAGGCATCCTCTCTCTTGCTTCTTCAATTCTCACTTTACTGGAGGAACTTTTTCCTGAGACTATTGACTGCGTTGTGAAAGATCAGGGAATGCTTGATGGTCCCAAGCCAGTTCTAATAGAAACTTGTGAAGCAGGTAAATAATATGGCTGATATTTTTATTTTAAATTATTTAATTCAGGATAAAATATTTTTAAAAATAATTAAAATTTTGAAATCTATAAATTAAAAATTACAATAACATCAAAGAAAGGTGTAAAACAATCAATGTTCTACATTTCTTTATAGTAAATATGGTTATGATGACTGCCAACGTTGGCCAAGAAACTGTCTCATTTATTTACTTTTTTATAGTCATTTAAAAAATACATAGATTTATTACTTATATTTCCAAACTTTGCAGCAACACTGACTAGGCTTTCACTAACATGACACATTGTGTGTTTTAAAACATCAATTTACTTGTTGTATTATTATATTGTTATATTGGGTCAATGAGAAGAATATAGGTTAAAAATCAAATGTAAAAGTTTATATACATAGCATTATTGCTTTTGCAATAACTATATGATTATTCTAATTGAACTAAGATTACTTTATTAACTAGGTTACTTAGTATTGAAAACAAAATCTCTAACCTATTATTTCAACTATATGGTGGCAGACCTAATTACGTTCAATAGTCTGCTGTGGGTCAAAATTAGGGGTTGTGTGTGCTACATTTCTAGGGTATGTCAAAAAAGGGAAAAAAAGTAATTATAGCTTAACGATAAGAAACAGAAGTTTTACACGATTACCTTTCTAAATAAAACCATTTTTTAAAAGTATTTCTAGGTTATCAATATAACCCGATAATTGACTTTCAAATGAAATTATTGAAAAATGTGAAATTTGTTTTTGTTTCAGTAAAATTAAATAATAGGTTTCAAATCCACATTTTTAACAATTGTTTTGTTTACAGCTTAACCTCATCAACATGTTTTAAATTAAATTAAATTTTGTTTAATGAATGTAAACAAAAATCAAATAAACTATTTAGAAAAAAGAATCCTCAGATAATCTTAACAAAATGCAATACTCATTTCAGCTGAGCTGGCTGAACTCTTGACAGGCAATCAGAGAGAAACCTCACATATTGAATTTGGTGCACACCAGGCAATTATTGTTATGAATGAGCAAGCCAAAAATCTTCTTCCTGAAGAGTTAAAAAAAGGAATTGTTTTGACTATTTTTGAGTCCAAGGGTCTTGAATTTGATGATATCCTAATTTACAACTTTTTTAAAGATTCCCAGGTATGAATATATATTTATAACATATACACATACCTTTAAATATATACACATACATTTTTATATACACATACATATATCCACACAAATGGCACATGATGTACAACAGCTAGAAACAGCAACCCATATAGTCATATAGGAGATTATTCCAAAATCAAACATGAGTGGAGCCCCTTAAGTGATAGGAATACACAGTCGGTTTTTGTTTTGTCATCTTGAACAACTAAAGCCTGTACCAAATGTATTGCTTAGAATTCATTTGAACTATACTCCCAAAGTTCGAGAAAAGAATCACAATGCATGGGAATCTCATGCCCTAGTAATTTCCCTCAGAATTGAATTCTCTGGATGCATCCATTATCTTCAGAGGAAAAATGGAACCATATATCACACACACACACACACACACACACACACACACACACACACACACACATATCAACATAAGTGCATACAGACACAAAATAATACATATACACATCTAATACATTAAACATATTAATTAGTATATAAAATGCTTTAATTGTTACATATGTTATGGTATGTTTAGCTACATTTTTTTATAATGAAGGCTGAAAAAGAATGGAGAGTTGTCACTGGGCTCTTATGGATTTTTACTGATAAAACAAGAATGATGCAAGCTCAAAGGGAAAAATCTGATATTGGTATTTGCACTTTTTATTTTATTTGTTTCAAACTAATAGCGTTTTATGTTTTGTTTGTTTAATATGTGGATATATAACAAATTTTAATACAAAATCAACATTAAAATCTTATTACTACACCATATTAATATAATTTAAAGTAACAAATCTTGTTCAGTTTACCTTCACAAGGATGCACCAAAAGGTTTGCAGTTTGATAAAAACCAGCACCAACTTCTTGAGACAGAGCTAAAGCAGCTTTACACTGCAGTCACACGAGCTCGAGTTAATGTCTGGATTTTTGATGAGTGCGCTGAGAAAAGAAATCCAATGTTTCATTTTTTCAAAACTCTGAACCTTGCAACTCATGAACTAAAGACACAAGAATCATTCATAAAAGGTAAAGGGCTTTTAATCAAACAGTTTATTACATTTATTTTTATTATATATATATATATATATATATATATATATATATATATATATATATATATATATATATATATATATATATATATATATATATATATATATATATATATATCAAACATATAAAGACAGTTCATTTTTCAAATGATTAGGATAGTGACTTAAAAAACTATTTAGTAAATACTTGTGCCAATATACTAAAACATGGACCTAATTAGCTTTCAATAAAAAAAATACATAAGCATATTATTATATTCCCTAGAAATAAGTGGCAGCCAGGAAATGGATTTTTGAGTATTTTATCCCAAAATTGTATGAGTTACTTACAGGGAGCATTATGCATTGCATTGGCAACACATTTATATTTAGATTTATTAGGTGAAAGAGATTTTTCGAAGATAATAAATTGTTTTGAATATAATAGTCAGTACGAAAAATCCTAAATTAAGTAAATTATACAATTATATAACCATCCAGTTGCTGAACAATAATATAACTTTGAAGATCAAGCTGTATTATATATGAAAAAACAAAATTTTTCTTGATTTTTTTGTTAAACATTAATATAGATATTTTTTGTTAATAGGAATAGAAACTTCAAATGCTAAAGATTGGCTTATTAGAGGAAATCAATTTATGGAGAGAAAAATATTTTCAGAAGCTGTTAAATGCTACAGGTTATGTTCTTTATTACTTTTTTCATTTAAATATAGATTAGTTTCCGTTAAAAAAATATATTTAAGAAACAATATATTCAAATTTTTATTTAGCCAACTATTATGAGATTTTTGTTATTATTTACAATACTATATTTTAATTTACTTACAGATATGCCAATAAGCCTGGACGAAAAAAAATTGCCATGGCTCATTGTAAAGCTGCTGAGGCTTCAGTAGAGACCAACAGCAGTTTGAAAAAACAACAGTATCTTATGGCAGGATTACAGTTTGCTCTTTGCAAATTTGTAACTTCAGCTGCTCGATGTTTTCAAAATGCACAGGAATATTTACTGGCTGCTAGTGCTTTTGAAAAATGTGGAAAGGTTAGCATTTTTAACATTCAAAGTCATAGCTTGTCCTAATTTGCTGAAAATAGTAAGAACAAATGGGTGTATAAATAAATAAATAATTAAATATATATATATATATATATATATATATATATATATATATATATATATATATATATATATATATATATATATATGTATACAAAAATGTATATATTATAAATATATATATACAGACATATATATACATACATATATATATACAGACATATATGTATACATTTATTTTATTGTTGCATTCAACTTTAAAAATTGTTAAACTTTCTGAATTGCAAGAATGAACAGAAGTAATCGAGTTGACTGTACTTAGACATCTTTATAAACAAAACAAAATATTTTATGTATTACAGTTCATTGAAGCAAGTTCTCAGTATAAATTAAACAAAAGTTTTGACAAAGCATCTGCTTGCCTGGAACAGCTTGGTTATTATGGAGAAGCTGTTCATTTCCTTTGTGAGCAAAAGTGTTTTGATGAGGCTATAGAGTGTCATCATAGATATACTAAATTGTTAAAGGTAAAGAAAAAAATTGTGATACCACAAACTAGCTTAATAAGAACATTATGAAAATTAAATATCAGAATCAGTTGATTTTTAAAAAAAATAAAAGATGAAGGTAAATGAGAAACTATATTGATTGTTGATCCTTTTTAATATTATTTTTAATGTGTATGCCTACTGCTTAATTTTTTTTACTTTTTAAGACTCAACATTTTTTTACTTTAAAGGATCTTAAAAGAACCGATGACATCTATGGACTACAAATACTGAGACAAAATAAACCTGCAGTTGATTACACAGTGAATAAGATTCTCATAAAGTAAGCTTTTAGATTTATTTTTTATCTTAAATGTAATTATCAGGTAACAATAAAAACTAATCACAGTTACTTTATAAACCTATTTCATTAATCAGAGATACGTAATTTTCTGTAAACTTGAATATATATGCTACACTATTTTAGCAGTTTGTGTTAATACAGAAAGATTGTATATTTTTTATCTATTTGGTATTATCAGAAAAGCTGAACATTTATACTCTCAACAAAATTTTGAAATGGTTGAAGAAGTATTGGATGAAGTGACAGACAATAAGGAAAAACTAGCCTTCTACATTAAGAGGGAAATGTGGCTAAAAGCTGCAGAAATTTTAAAACTGGATGGTATAGATTACATTTTCTGATATTGATAATATGTTATTTAATTGCAAGCTACATTTAAGTACAGATTTTATTTGCATTAAAATTGCCATTATTTTTACAAATTAAATTGTTTTATGATGTACATCAACCCCATTGCAATACTTTCTGAAAAATAGTTACCTTTCTGTAAAGCCACTTGTGCATTACAATATTTTTTAAAAATCTGGATGTTTAAAAATTAGTGAAAAAATATAAAGAATCTCATTAATGTGTGTAATAGCAATATTTGATAGATGAAAACTTTTATCCTAATTTAAATTATATAAAATGTACTTTTATTTTTAAAATCTTCCGTTTTATTTCTTTTTCAGTAAATTAGTTTTTAGTATGGGATCATTCAGTCAAAATAAATAAGATATTTTGTTGCCAATTATTTTTAAAGATATTTTTTAAACTTTTAAAAAGGTGAAACTGAGCAAGCAGCATATTTTATGCTAAGATGTGGCAACTTCAAAGAAGCATTAGAATGTGCTAAAAGTGGATCCCATAAAGCTTTGGCTGCCAAAATAATTTTGTTGATTGCTGCACAAGACAAAGTAAGGATTTTTTAAAATCATCTTCTTTTCCAATTCTCGCCCAAGATACATAAGGCAAATGAAGTAGAGTTCAACACTTTTACTGACCTCTGCATTACAATAATACAGTATGTTAGCACTATGGCCAGCCATTTTTGTCTACCTAACGTGATATAGGTACCCATCAGACATGGGTTGAATCAAGGACATCATACAGACTCAAGCCCAGGATCATTTTTTTTTTAATTGTTCTTACATATTATTCATATTTTTTTTAAAGATTTGAAAATAAGGCTTATTCTATATTTTTAATAGGTCAAATTTAATGAACTTACCAATGAAGCACTGGAAAATTACAAAGAAATATGTGACTACAATGGACAAGCTATTGTAAAATTAATGCAAGGGGAGTACCATCATGATGAAAAGAAAATAAATATGGGTAACTATTTTGAAAAACAGTTTTTTCTTTTTAAATTAATGATTTCCTTTTAAATTGACTGAAATTCTGTTTTAATACTTTTGAATTGTAAAGACAGATTAGCTATACCATACAAACATTAGTAATTTGAGTGAAACATTTTCAAATTTAATTTACATCCTTTTAAAATCAAAACGATTATGCTGGATTTTGCAATAGCTAAAAGTTGGGGATGCAAATTCAATGGAAAGATTACTTGATTGTAAACACACAAAAGTTAAGCTTAATCTAGCTTTGAAAAGCTTAATCTAGCTTTGAAGAATAACTGAAATAATTTCAAGAATATGGAGACCAAAATCTATTGTATAAACCAAACTGTATCTTCATAAAGAATAAAAAAACATGCTAATTCTTCTGTTCAGGCATATCTATTGTTTTTCAAGGATAAAGTAGTCTTTTATATATATATATATATATATATATATATATATATATATATATATATATATTTCATAGACTTGTCAATAGACTATTTTATAACAGAATACTATGAATATATTTTTAATAGACAATGATATAGGCTATAAGGTACAGTGGCATAGCAAGGGGGGGGGGGGGGGGGCGGGAGTTGCAGACTGCACCAGGTGAAACCATTTAGGGGGGTGACATCCAAGGCATAAAATATCAAAATATATACAGGGGGGGGAGAGATACATCAACTCAACTTTGCAATATATATGCCTGCCGAAAACAGTTTGCTTGTGAATCGTAATAAGCTATATGTAAATCCATGTATGGGGGGGGGGGGGGTAAAAAAATTAAATACATCCAGCAGAAAACAAATATTTGAATACATATACACATGTGTATACACATACTTACAAGTTTATATGGAATATATATATATATATATATATATATATATATATATATATATATATATATATATATATATTTCATAGACTTGTCAATAGACTATTTTATAACAGAATACTATGAATATATTTTTAATAGACAATGATATAGGCTATAAGGTACAGTGGCATAGCAAGGGGGGGGGGGGCGGGAGTTGCAGACTGCACCAGGTGAAACCATTTAGGGGGGTGACATCCAAGGCATAAAATATCAAAATATATACAGGGGGGGGGAGAGATACATCAACTCAACTTTGCAATATATATGCCTGCCGAAAACAGTTTGCTTGTGAATCGTAATAAGCTATATGTAAATCCATGTATGGGGGGGGGGGGGTAAAAAAATTAAATACATCCAGCAGAAAACAAATATTTGAATACATATACACATGTGTATACACATACTTACAAGTTTATATGGAATATATATATATATATATATATATATATATATATATATATATATATATATATATATATATATATATATATATATATATATATATATATATACTCACTCACTCACTTACTCACTCACTCACTCACTCACTCATTCACTCATTCATTCACTCATTCATTCATTCATTTATTTATTTTACGGAGAGGGTGACGCCATCAGGTGCCGCACCAGGTGACACCCGACCACTGATAATGTATATATTACTTAATATAAAATCCATATTTTTAAATCAACGATAGCTCATGGTATTTAATTGTGTGTAAACAGTAAGATTTTGATGTACAATGTTTAGAAGCCTTTATTGTTAATTATCTTTCAACATGTTTAAATTAAATCAATTTGTATATGCATTACTTTTAAAAATTGTTTTTTTTTAAATAACAGAATCCATATTTTTTTTGTTTTGAATTTTTCAGCATACAAACATTTCAGTCAAACAAAACCATATAATGATGCAGGCAAATTTATATGCCTTACTTTATTGGATGTGCCAGTTCAATTGTCTACAGCAGATTATCCAAGTGATTTATTCAGTGTTTTAAAAAAAGGATTTAATGTGAGAATATGGTATTACCAGTGATAAACATTTCATTAAATTCATCCACTCAGTGGTTTGCATAAACATTGATCTTATTAATGTGAAAACAAAATTGCTATTTTTTTAACAATCAAACAATTTTTAGTTTATGAAAAAAATAGCTGGGTAAAGCCTACTTCAGAAACTTCTATAATTTATATTTATTTACTTATTTTGCTGATTTTAGTCTCCAATTCATTTGTGGGTGGTCAAAAAGAGTAATTTTCAAAATTTATAGGCAATACATATTTGTTCACAGGTTTTTTAAATTTATTTTGAACAGATTATACAAAGATTGGATGAATCCAGTAAAGTAGACAAGGAACTCATTTTTCTCTATCTTAGTGTGTTTGGATTAGAAGTTGATTCAATAACTGAAAATATGATTTGTTTCTCCAAAAATAACCCTTTGCTGGACAAAATTTCACAAGGCAAGGACACGCAAGAGATGAAATTTCAACTCATTAGCTTAAAGAAGGTAACATTTGTTGCATAATGTATTTTAAAATAAACATTATAATATTACGCCGCTCTATTGAAAAATCACATGTCATAATTTACAGTAAGAACCAGGAGTGTGAGGAGTATTTTTACGCAGGCATTACTATTATAATCTCTTACTAATGTATATACTATAATTAATCATTGCTTCCTAATATTCTAGTTTATATATATATATATATATATATATATATATATATATATATATATATATATATATATATATATATATATATAAAATAATAATTTTTAATGTTTGTATGTTATAGGCAGCCGCTAACTTGCAGACACTAATCATCAACAAAATAAAAGAATGGATAAAGAAGATGAAAAAATCATTAATAACTGCCATCCAAAAGAAAAAAGTTTGCAAGAATAATCTGGAAGGCATAAAGTGTCAAATTCAAAATTGTCAACACAATATCAATCCCAGTTTAAATGATGAATTAGCAATATTAAAACTTCTTAATTTATCGGTAATTTTAGATTTCTTTTTTTAAATATAATAGTTTCTCTATTTTATTTTATTACATTAAGCTTTTAATGGCAATGGCATAATCAAATGAATAAAAAATTTACCAGCATACTTATCCAGGTTTTTAGCTGAAAAAAATCATAACTTATTTTTTGTTTATTCTGATACTATGGAAAGTAATGGAAAGCATAACTTGAGAAACCAACAAATTATAACATTTTTAAAACTTAGAAAAAAACAGACAGATAAACCTGATTGAGAAGGGTGGCTATTTTGTTAATATTTACAGCAACAAAAGATGGGTTAACCTTTGAGTAAAACAACAACATCTTTAATAAGATGCATAAAATATCTATTCTAAAAAATATTAACAGGAGTCTAAATCATATGGGGATGGGTGTGGTCAACATTATTCCCAGCCACCCTAGTTCTCATTAATGCTTGGCTGGCATATAAGTTGATCCAGAAAAATCAATCACAGTTAAATCATTTATAGTCCTTAAACTGCTTAAAACAGATAATTTTTTCTATTGCTTTACTGACAATACGCAAATAAGATTAATGTATGCCAAGATCATTGAAACAGATGAAGTCTACTTCAATCAACACTGTGTGTCTTGGGAACTAATGAGAAAAGACTGTAGAGTACAATGTCAATAGTAATAAAACTGATAGTATTAGTATCCTCACAAAAACCTTTCATGCCAATGTATTCATCAGCACACAAAAGTGTGGTTAAAGACTAGACAAAAAAGAAAAACAGTAACATTATTTTGGAATTGTCACTAGACAGCCAAAACATGTCTTGTCAAAATGCCATGATATTCAAATTAAATGAAGCATGTCAATTGTCGATTGGGCTATGAACAGGGATGGGGGCTGTACAGGGTAGAGGGGTGAGATAAAAGATAGCTTAATAAATGTATCAACTAAAGGGAAAAGTTAATTAATATCAAGAAAAAACCATACAAAATGTTTAACATTTTTATTAATTTATAGGTATGTTTGACAGACAACTAAAACTGTTGTGTTTCTTAAAGATGTTTATCTTGCCCTGACAGTAAATTAACTTGTATATGATCTTTTTTTACAGCTGACTTTAGATTTAGAAATCCATGCTGGAGCTGAAAAGCTTAAAGTGCTAAAGAAACACAAATTGGCTTCCTCTATCTTGGAGGAAAGAGATTGGAATTCAGTGCAAGAATTTTTAGAGTTTGTGTTGCCTATTAAGATGTCAGCTAATAGAACAGAAACTACAGACATTATTCAAAATATTTTATCAGAAGCCAGAACTATGTCTGGACTAAGACAAGTCGAACGGTAAACATACTTTAGATACTTTTAAAATCAGATTATGACAATTAAATTTAGAAACCCTTATCATAAATCTTTTAAACAAAACTTGGAAAAAAAGTTCTTTGAAATTTTCATAAAAATGTATAAATACTTTTATTTTGGCAACACTTGTTTTTTAAACATTAATGCCTAAAAAGGCATTTTTTAAATTTCAATCTTTTTTTAGCTATTTTCTTGAAACAAGAGGAGATACATCAGATCAGAGTGGCTTCCAGCTAACTGCAAAATGGATTATTGAAGCCTCTTTCTTTTCTTCATTATTTAAATTGCAACTGTTTGTTGTAAAACATGATGTTCAGAGTTTTAAGGTAGAGTTTTATTTTTACTAATTGTATCATAGGGTTATGTTAATTTTTTTTTTTTTAAATTATTATTTTAAAAAAATGAAACTTAAAATTGACATAGATCAAAATCCTACCATCATTAGTTATTAAGAAGTCATTTTCTTTTGTTTATTCCTAATTCTTTAAATGTATAGGCTAAATGTAATTGAGAAACATATTAAATCCATGCTATAAATAAATCCAGACGTTTATATTTGTTTATAGTAAAATTAATTTTAGTCATTACAAGTTTTATTAATTCCATACCTATTTTTATATTTAAGTTTATTATAAAAAATATCTGTCACTGACTTGTTTAATTTCAAAACAATATTTACTTACAGGAAAAATCAGCAGCAATGATGTGCAGTTTAAACACCATCGACAAAATTCAAAATTTCAATAATCCTTTAGGTGCCACTGAGTCCTTTGTTAAGCTGATGGAAATTAATGCAAAGGAAAGCCAAATTGCAATGCCAGAGTTAAATTTGATCATGTTTTGGATGGAAGTTCACTTTTGTTTGGTTTTGTTTTCTAGAGCCAATGTAAGAACTACATTACAATAGTTAATAATAGGTGCCTTATTTTAATAAATATAGTGTATATGGCATACATATAGGCTATATAAACAAATATATAATAATGACTTGTAACCAGGAAAGTAACAAAAATGTTTCAAATTAAGAGTAAAGTAATGTTTTTATAAAATCATCATTAGCTAATTAGTAGTCTATTTTTCAGGTTAAAAAAATAATTTATTTAACTATTTTTGAATAAACAATTATCTAAACACTTCTTATATAGATTAACTGAAATAGTAATTGGACAATAAACCACATGGTAATGTAAAATAATGGAGCAAACACAAATACTATTTTACTGAATTAATGAATGGAAATGAGACATCTTTACTAATATGCATTTATAAATCTTAATATAAATTAATATTTACTTTTATAAATCCCTTGTTTTTTCATTAATAAAGATTGTTAATGTTATCAAATACCTAATTACTTACATCGTACTAATTTCTGAAATTAAGAATTTTATAGCTCTTTGATTTTTTTTTCACTAAATCTATTTTTCAGATAACAAGGGCTAAGTATTCAGAAAGTCAATTCTACTTACCAAAATCTTTTATGACCAACATTTTTCTTTTAAATTCTTGCCTACCCAAAAGAAAGAAAAGCAATAGTCAAAACTCTGTTGAAGAAATGGTTTTTAACAGCTGTGCAGATAAGGATATGGTATCTAATTTTCTAAGCCGCATAACTGTTATAGTGATTGGAAAAAATCCAACAAGGTAGTTTTTATAATTTTTTGATTATATTTTACTAATATATTTTAGTATAAATAGAAATCTCTTTGTCAAACCATAGAATGGTCACTGAAATGTGGATCTTCTTAAAGGGGTCATCCATAAATGATGTCACGCTATTTTGGACAATTTCCCCCACCCTCACCTCCATCACACATTGTCACAAAAAGCCAGACCCCCGGTCCTAAACTAAAATGACATCTTACCTCAGTCTACAACCCCCATCAAAATTGCAGATGAAATTTTCTGAAAACCTCCATATTTTTTCCAAAATCTAGTCTGAACAGTGTAAAGTATTTAATTAAATCAATTCCTATTACAATTTATTAAAACAGTTTACTAAAATGCAAAAACTCATTTTCTGACATTGCTTTTTATAATGCACAAGTGTGACATCACACCATGTAACCCCCTCCCCTACTCCCCCTAATCACACACCATCACAAAATTACAGAACCCCCCCCCCTCCTCCATATGAGTTTGACGTCATTTATGGACAACCCCAGAGTCCAAAAAATATTAGAATTAAAAGATCAAATTGAATAAATACAATTGAAATTCTTACCAACATAAATTTGTTATGATACTTCAGCTAATTTACTCATGCCTTTAACATAAAAAAACCCACATTTTCAGACCTGCACCTCAATTGTTTAAAGATTTAAAAATAAATTTAAATTATGAATATTTTACAAAATATATTTTGCTAAATGTTTTAGCTCTGATATCTATACGAGTTGGTCTAAATAATTTTCCCAAACTTAATAAATATATATTGCTCTACATATTTTATATTTCTTTTTTTCAACTTTACAGTCTTATTAATAGAATACCATCACTTTGTGAGGAAAAACAGTTTTTGGGAGCAGAAAGAATTTTAATACTAATGCTTGTTATTTTGCTCAACACTCCAAGGCATGCTGTGCCTGAACACTTAGAAGTGCAAATTCAAACTGTATGCCAAAAAGTAAGACAAAATTACATTTAAAAAAAAAACATTTTTACACAATTTAAAAAAAATATTTGTGCTGGAAAATTTGTTAAAAATAAAAGAGTGATAATGAGGTAATAATTATGTAAAATCTATTTGACTAGTTATTTAAATCTGGGTTAGAGTTTTGGTTGGGATTATGAGTTATAAACAGTTTTACTACATCATTATGTAGTGCTTGTTAAATGTGAAGTTAAAAATATTGTATACATAAAATATTTGCAGGTGAGAGCAACTTCAAACACACCTAGACATCTGCAGTTCTTGATAGAAAATATGAAAACAGCAAGAAATTTTCATAACATTGTCAGTTTATTAGAAAACTTGTTTGTGGGTCATGATACTAGCAGCAAGAGCCAGACATCTTTGTTACATTGTACTTGGACAGATCAAATTAATTCACCCCTAAAAACAAAACTTTTAGAACCAATGCATTGTGAAAAGATGGATATTAAAGATCTAAGTGTCTCTACAACTATTGCTCAAGTAAAGGTATGTTATTTTTCAAATGCTACCTTTAAATTTAGATTTAAAAAAGCCTATTAAAAAAAGGAATGTTAGGAGATGTTTGGTTGATGGTATAAAAATATAGCAATTACATTTATTTTATTTTCTTCTTAACAAATTTTTTTTGAGTAATTCATTTTGATGTTCTAACTCCAAAACAATTTGAAATATAATTATATATATATATGTATATATAATTTAAAATGTTCAAAATGCAAGCTTTATTGAAATAACTTATGTAAGGCCTTATGAAAGGCCACTTTAATAAATGAGTCAGTTTGTTGAATTTATCTTATGACTATACATTTGATTAAATAAGATTTAATAAGATACCTTGACTAGAAAGACTCATTTATAAATCATAATTTTTATAAAGTGTGTAATGTAGCAAAAAGAAATAAGCAGTAAGTAACACGTTTGTTTGGATGTGCATAAAAAGTATAGTATACATTTAGTAATGTAATGGGTGGAATGGGGAACATTGGTAGACTATCATCTTTATGCCATGTCATGTGTATGTGCCAAATAAAGAACAAAATTGTTATTGATTTGCAGGTCATGGATTACAATTTGTTATTTTTGTATCCCAACATGTCCATATGTAGATCTACAGGTATCCTGTATCTGCACTTACCACACACATGGTTTATGGGAGTTGTTCTCTTACATCTTTTCAATACAGTACAATATTTATTACTACCTTACAAATCAGTTCTTTTTCACTTTTTATTTTCAATCAGGGTGAACAGTCAAATGGTAATCAAGCACAAGGCATTCAAAACCAAGACAATTATTGGCACGCCAACAGTTTGAAGAAAACCAAACCATAGACTAATAGCTCAGCTACGCCAAGTCATTAATGAAATAGACATTATAAAACCTTAAAAAAAAATTAAGTCTATAATTTTCTTCAAGATTATATTTCTGTAAAACATTCTACTTAAATCTGGTTAAATTTTATCAATATGATTTTTGAAAACAACTTTGTATTTATATTTTCTTAGGATTTTCTGTTTAAAAGCTCACCTAGTAACTTAATATTTTCTTGACTCTTTAATTTGTTATTTATGACTGTTACTCAGTTTTATATAATATGCATCTTGGGTGATTGACTAATAATGAATACAATTACAAACCATTTAAATGTGAGCATGGTGATCTTTAATAAAGTATCATCTAATTCTTCTGATTAACTTTGTGACATTTTTTACCATTATAAAATAAAAATGTCAATTAATTGAATATGTTGAATAATAATTAATAATGATGAAATATACTTTGTTTTACTTTTTGAAATAAAATCCATGTTGCTTATTATAGTCTAATTTTTAGTTGATAAACTTAGTTTATATAATGAGATAGTGTAAAAATATAGACCCAACATTATTAATGTACTGTAATTACTAATTAGTTCTACATTTCTTATCAATTTTAGAGCAGCAGAAATGTACTACTAAAATTCAAGTGCCAATTGCTTTATGTAGCAAGCTCTATCATAGTTATTATTTGTGCTGCAGTTAGTTGACACCTTGCTATTTTAAAGTATATGATGTCAATTGTTTTGGGGACTGTGTGGTGTAGCTGTAGAAAGCTAGACTTCGAACCCACAAGTCTTGACTTCTTATCCAGGTTCAATTCAGCTCTGATGGGTAGTTAGCTCACGTTAGGGAAAACAAAGGTTATTTGGTTATTTGGTTCAGTACTGTATTTTACATTAACAATTTGTAACATTGAATATTACACTGTAGCTGTAAACGACCCTTTCTTTTTACTTTCTCGTATATACGAAGTATAGAGAAAGTATTGTAATCGTGCACAAAAATCACTTGAAATTTTAACAATTTTCACCGTATTACACCTCAGTCCTTCATCACATACGAAGTATGGAGGACTTATTTTAATCGGGCAAAAATTATCAATCCAGATGTATCAAAATTAAGAGGTTTTGTGTGTAATCCAGTCTGAAAAACTGGGCTTTGCAACTCTGTCCGTATGTCTGTGTGTGTGTGTGTCTGTGTGTCTGTCCGTGTGTAAACACGATTACTTGAGTACCGTTACAGCTAGGTTGATGAAATTTCATATATAAGTATTTTATCAAAATCGTAGATCCGTATCAACTTTTGAGCGATTTCCGAGAACCGGAAGTGGTACTTTTTCTACTTTGAATTTTTAAAAAGCCTATAACTTGAGTATTATTTCACATAGATAAATGAAATTTCACACATAAGTAAAAGATCTAATTCTCTACCTTCTGTTAAATTTTGAGTAATTTCCGTTGACCGGAAGTAGTAGTTTACGCTACTTCCGATTTCTCAAAAAACTAATGTAAATTTTTAAAGTACTAATAATATTGCGCACTATTAAACACTTTTTTATTTAGCGTTCACTTGGTGTGCAATTCATTTGTCTACGAGATTTTATTCTATTTTTAAAACTTTAAGTATTTAAAATTGATTAAAAATCATGTCTATAGCCCGAGTTCCCATCCCCTGTTGTTTTTTATAAGAATATTCGAGAAAGTTTAGGGGAGATCACTCCCGGTTTATTTAATTTACAATGTAACACAGCTCGTGTGCTTTTCTTATAATATATTATATCATTTGTATCAAGGTTTTTGTGTTTTCCCTATTTCTTCTTTTACCTCTCTCCCTCTCTTTCTTAGCTACGCTATGTAAGGTGACCTCTGTCACTTGTTGTTTTTTTTTAATAGTAATTAAACAAAATTGTCTTGATCATTTTGTATTGGACATCATGTTGAAATATTTAAATAAAGTCAAAATAAAACCTACCAAAACTAAAACCATTATCAATTACACTAAATAAACTATTTAAATTTATAATGCTATATAATAATAAGCGATGCCTTTTAGTAAGAAGAATAGGTAGTACATTAGGTAATCAAGTTTCAAGTCAGTAAAATGCCCATGAGTCCTCACAGCTCTGATGGGTACCTAACTCACGTTAGAGAAAAAAGGGCTGCTGGAATAGTGCTGACCACACTATCCTTTCATAATTATGCCGAGGTCATTGAAGCACATGAACTCTACTTCATCTGCCCAATGTGTCTTGGGCACGAGCAGGAAAAGGTGATGATGCTAATGGTTACATGAATAACAACATTGTCTGAGCTTCAATATAACAGACATTAACAGTAAATAATACATTCATGTAACAAAAGTAGATGATGCTACATGCTAGTAAATATATCTTTATGATTTTGACCTTCATTTAATTTCAATGTATTAGGTTAATTAAATATACTATGCAAGCATCTATGGATTTATACAATACTTGTTTGAATTTTTAAAAATCTTTTAGAAGTCGGTTCAAAATTAACAAGATTCTCCATGCCTTCAACAAACGTGCTCTTGTCATTATGGTTGCATCCGAACACTGGCAGGCTAAGATGGTAGCTGATCCAGTTTTTATCTCTACAGTCTAGATCATTTAGTTCAATGATCTAATACATAATAATTGTCTTTTAATTTCAACCGAAGGAAAAGATGTTCCTGCACAAGGAACAAGTTATGATGTTGTGATTAAGTTTATCGTCGGGACACAAAGGGTCACCCCAGAAGAAGAGGAGCCGTTTCCTAATGATGATCTGACTATTGACAAAGCACCTATTCATCTTCACGGGTAAGAATATATTGTAGAGTTATTTTCCAAGAACTCAATAATGCTAAAAATATAATTGCCATGAAATAATTAGCGCTTGCATAAAATCAATTAAAAAATTTCAAAATTGATTAATTCATTTGTAAATTTCCATTGACAATTGTAATAACTTTTGCAGAAATCAGTTAATACTATCTTCACATTTCTTTATTATTATGTTTTGTATATTGACAGAACATTACATGATATTACTGTTGCCCAGGAGGAAATAAACACCTTTAACTAAAATGAGTATACAACACTGCAAAGCCTCCAGTCATATCTGCTGTTCACTTCCGCTTTATTTTTTTAACATAGTTTCTTGAACAATTGTTTGTAATTTTATTTAACATAATTTGTAAACAAAGCCTCAAAATATTTTGTTTTAGTTTCAATTTTTTTTAAAAACTCTGTTTAATTTTGTTTGTGGATAGAACCTAAATATATTTAACATTCATCTTTCTTTCAAACTTGTGTCTTAATAGGAAAAATGTGAGCAGGTAAGAATGTTGAAAATATGTTACACTCTCAGTGTACGACTAGTATAACACACATTTACAAAACTAATAATATTTAAGAGTGTTATTCAATATGGAACACAAAAGCATCTCTATTTCTGAACGTTTTTTAAACTAATGTACAATTTACAAATAAATTTAATACAAACACTCTATTCAACAAATCATGTGTAGCAAACAATACATATATGTTAAAAGAATTGTCTGAACATCCGCTGTTTGCGACAAAGATACTTTATTCTATATATAAATATTAAGTGTAAATATTGTGTAAAAACTGAAGAAAATCGCGGACTAGAAGCTAGAGGTGTTTGTGAGCCATTAAATGTAAAAACCCAGAGTGCGTTTCTACTGACAAAATAAAAATGTATGATTACACTATATTGTTGTATTATCAAATATTTAGAAAAATAATGCACATATAATAACAAAAAATCTTTCTTTTTTTAATATATACAGTTTTTCGAGTTAGTAATTTCGAACGTGTTAGATTGTAGGTAGGGAAATATGACCGTCGTGTTCCACTTGTGCTTTTGTTGAACTATTATTTTCATTTCCAATGTCTATCTCTGCAAGTATTTATAACAACATATTGCATCACTATGTTATCTCAGTAAAATGTTTTTTAAAATAAAATTATGTATATAATAGCTGACATTTTTGTAATAAACTATACATTTTAATTTTAAGATTTAGAAACAATGTTTAGATAATAATGATTATAAGTTAAATAGCTTATACTCTTAAAAGCACAGAAAGCAAATGCGTCTATTTACGTTATTATAGCACAATATTTTGTTTCTAAAGCTATTACTCTAACTTATCATAACAAAATGAAACACGGCATTGCTTACCATATTCAGATGGGTTTCTCACACTATCATAGAACGTACCAATGTCGCTTGATACTCCAACTGAAAACAAAATGTTTGCAAAATTACCACAAGATTGAAAAATATAAGGGTAAAAGGTATTTTTTTTCTATGTATAAAACACCGAGGACAAAGCATAGTATGTAGTCAAAAACCTAATAAAGTAACTCATATTTATATAAAAGTAAGAGCTATATTAATTATAAAACAGTAATTTAACAATAGTCCTTTCAAAGTTAAAAAGAGGCACTGAGGGGGGGGGGGGGGGGGGGAATGCGGGCCTTACCGGGTGACGCCATTTAGGGGGTTGTCACCATGGTGAAAAGTTACACAAGTATATATAAGAAATATGCCTTTTTGCCAGTTTATTTGAGTTAATCCACCTATATTAATAAATAACAACAGATGAACATCTTTCCAATTAACTTTGCATAATTTAAAACTATCACCCGAGGGGGGGGGGGGAGAGTATAACACATCAACTATAAAATTTAGAGAGGACTGGAGCCTGGGGAGGGGTTGTCAAGAAAACATAATAACTTACGAAAAAAAACGATGCTTTTTTCCACGTGAATTAATTGGTGGATTAATATAATGTGCGACCAAATTAACTTCATTAGGGGGAGACATAAATTCCAACGATATATAGGCATATGTAGACCTTATATATATATATATATATATATATATATATATATATATATATATATATATATATATATATATATATATATATATATATATATATATATATATATATATATATATATATATAATCATTTTTTTCTAGGGGGGGGGGGGGGGGAGTGACACCTTGAGGTGCCGCACCGGGTGATACCCTACCTAGCGACCCCAGTGCTTACAAAAAACACAACAGTCATGCAGATATGTTGTTTGTGGTCATAATGACCTGATACAGTTTCCGTTCGCCGGGGAAAAACAGTTAACAATATAAAACTTAAATAAGTGTTGACAAAGATTGGTCCCCATGCCCCTGGTACACACGGCAGACTATCAATGAAATATGATTATGAAGACTACGAATATAAAAACAAGCTTAATTTTATTGTTTCACTGAACATATACATATTGAGCACGAATGTTCATTATTTAAATTTAACTAACAACATTTTAAGTTATGTAATAATTTCTTTGATATTTCTAGTATCTCAAACACTTTTGTTATTAAGAATCAGTTACTTAACATAATATTACGAATTTATGCCAAATCTATAAAAACAACACACAATCGCCTTGCGCTGAAAGTGACCCTAAATGTATTTTGATCTTAGAAACAATTAAAATTAATTTTTTAAAATGGAATCAATTTTAAAGGGTGCCCTGTTGGTAATTCAAAATTATTTTTTTAATATGTGTATACTTTTATATATATATATATATATATATATATATATATATATATATATATATATATATATATATATATATATATATATATATATATATATATATATATATATATATATATATATATATATATATATATATATATATATGTAACTAGTGTAGTTACTAAAGACGATTGATAAGAACGCAATACAGTCTGTCAACTAAGACATGACCAAGGCCAAACTGAACTGATGCAACGGATGCAGGTGGTGTGACAGAAATAGAAACAAAAGTCTAATAATAACTAGTACAAGACGACTGCGTAGTTGGGAGGCGAGATAATAGGACTGCACGACAGAAGTGGAGAGAACAGAAGTTGAAGCCTGAACTGTAGATACGTGTTTTAATTTGTGAGAATAAGATCGGAAGCCTGAACCATGGACACGTGTATTCTGATGTGTGAGAACTAGTGAGGACAGTGGGGGTCAGTTGGTTCATTGTATTCTTGTGGAACATTGATGCATTGCTATGTGGAACTTTTCTATTGATTCAATTAATAAAGAGATAAATGTAAACCTGCACTTCAGAGTATCTGTATTGTGATTAATGTTGTGTGCCGGTCAAAGATAGCACAAGTAAATACACTCGGTAACAGTTGGCGTTGCGAGTAATACACTAAGTAACATATATATATATATATATATATATATATATATATATATATATATATATATATATATATATATATATATATATATAATTATAAATTTACCTGAGCTTAAGCAAGGTGAATGATGATATGGAGATGTAAATACCACTGAATCGTTGACGATGACAGAATGAAAATCTAAACAAAAATTGGACAATATAAATGTATGTGTCCTTGCTGCTTAAACTTGCTGAAATACAGAAGTCACTGTAAATTAAGAAAGCGTTTTTCTGATTAAAAGAAAACAAATCTCATTTTTTTTAGTATATATGCTACATATGAAAAGGATATTTTCTTTAACTAGTATAATACGTTTTATCTTTAAAGACCCAGAAAATTATATAGGCTATAAGCCTTCATATTATCTGTGTGTGTTTGAAATAATTCAGCTATTTTTTTTTTAAATTCTTTTTTAAAAAAAGCAGTGAAAAAAGCCAGTGGTACTCTGTTGGATAACGAGTTTTGTTCTCTATATTTGGGTACATAGAAGTATTAAGTAATAATTGATGCTTTTATTTTGCAGTACATATAAAAATGATATATTTCAAATTATGTTTTGATAATGATAATCCTATAGACTTAGACATAAATATGACAAGTATATATATATATGTTAACTCATAAGGTCAACAATATTTTTTCCCAATTTTTCAAAATCTAACTTACGTAAAATATTAATTTTTATCCATGGCAACCTTATAATTATCACAGCTAGCAGATCCAAAGTAGATATTTACACAACACAAGCTTTACAATATAATTTACAATTGATTAACGCAAACATAGGCTTATGTAGGCCTACTAGACCTTTTAGTTCTAAAGTATTATTTTCATATAAGAATTGCATTCTTGAAGAAAAATTTGATGAGTTGTTAATTGTTTGTGCTTCAGTTGATGAAAAATAAATCTTTACTAGCACATACTAAAAGTATCCCATTTGAACTTTGAAGAGAAAAAAAAAAAAAAAAAAATATATATATATATATATATATATATATATATATATATATATATATATATATACATGATGTAGGCCTATATATAAATATATAAAAGATAAAACTTACTATTTCGGACAAAGTAGATATACAGAAATATGCACATTGATATTAAGATAATTATTGCACCCAGAGGAGAGCATATTCCAAATATCAAATATGTTTCTTTCATGTCGTCATTGTCCGATTTCACTATGAAAAATAGATTTCAAAATGTTAGATTGTGTTATAACAGTTCAAATAGTTTCTACGAAGCATCCCCACCACCACTATGTCATTTTATAATCCATAAACTAAAATTTTTAATTTTAAAATTAGCAACAATTTGAAGGCTAGTTTTGATAGCCTATTCTATTATTCATCAAATCATTATAAATAGCAGGAATTTTAAAATTCAAAATTAACGAAACTGGAGGTCAATTTTTATTATAACTTACAATGTTTTCAAATGGGATTTTCAAATTCCGTAGCCTATGTATTAACACATTACAACAAATTGATCAGACAACTGTAGCAAATGTGTGTGTAAAAAGACTATTAACTCTACTGTGTTTATTTATAATCCTATACGGGTCGTTAACCATCACATAAAAAGTGAAATCACTATATAATTATATTTATAAATTATATATGCATTTAGCCAACAACTTATTTCACTTACGAAAAAAATGGTGCAAAAAGTATTATTTATCTTTTATTTGTTACACGGCGATCTTCGAAGAGTTGTATATGCGGTTTTTTTCGTTAGTGAACAGAACTCAAAGTTCGTAGCATATTTTACGGATCAAAAATTTATCCCCCGCCATCATAAAAAAATATATATATATTAAAGAAGCGTCTGAAATTTGTACTTTTAATTTTTAACCCTAATCCTAAACAACTCCAACTCTAACTGTAGAGGCGAATAAGGAGTTGTTTTACGGCGTGCGTTTAAATATTCAAATATTTAGACATCAGAAAAAGGTCAATATTGTTTGCATGCTGGCGAAATGTGGCGTGGCTTAACTTTCTTCCCCTGCACTTTTTGCATTAGTGGCGGGGCTTATATTGAAAAAAATAATCATAATTGAACTTATCTCCACTTATCTATGTGCTTGTGTGTGTGTGTGTGTGCGTGTATTTGATGAGCTTTTATTATAATTACTTACTTAAAGGTTGCTCGAAATTTAAAGTCGCACTGTCAGATAGTTCTTTAAAAATTAGATTGTTGGCTTTACAAATAAATACAAATGGTTGACAGTTGTTTTTTATTCTAATTTTTGCCATATAATCATTGACATAAGTGTGATTTTCTTTGGTTTGATTTTGTAGTTCTCCGTTTACAAGTAAAGTGAACTCAACACCGGGGAAAGCTGACCGACTGTCGACAGAGCAAGTGAGTTGTGTTGTACACCTTATGTTGCCACTATTAATACCACTAGTATTAACAAACACGCTTCCTGGCCCATCTGTGAATATAAATTCGTGAAATAATTTTAATAAAATGTTAAAATATACAATAATTAATTATCTAATTTAAAATTTAATTTCTAAGGATAATGTTTATGGTATTTAATTTCTTTCTAACATTACGAATACAAAATAGTTTTATTTTTGTTATAATCTTGTATCTTTTTATTCGTTTCATAAAGGGCGATGTATTCTTAGCAACCGTTAATAAATTTTTCCATATTTTTAAAAATAAAATTGAATCTACATCAGTGTATATTTTGATGAAATGTTCATTTCTCATCGGATAAAGTAATCGAAAAGTACTTGCATGCTAATTGTGGTCTAAACAGTTCCCCTATTTCTTGAGTCCCATAAACAGAAACTCCCTTGCAAACGTAAGACTGGCCTAGATCTAACCAAACAATATTTTATTTTTGTGTAAATGGGTTATTATACATATACATATATATTAACATTATTTGCTAGAAATAGAAACGACATTTGTCAGTTAGTGAGCTGTGTTTTTATATAGAGCAAGTATTGTAATCGTGCACAAAAATAACACTAAATTATGACAGTTTTAGCCGTTTGTCACCTCAGTACGTGATCATATACTTATTTTATTCGGGCTAAAATTTCATATCCAGTTCTATAAAAAAAAAATCTAGGTGTTTTACATGCCATCGAGTCGGAAAATACTTTTATATGAAATTTTGTTAACCTCGCTCTAACGGTACTCAACTAACATGTTCCAGACAGACACACAGACAGACAGACACACCCAGAGAGAAAAACGGACATACAGACGAAATTGCAAAACAAAGTTTTTCCGACTCATGAAGGTATAAAACGTCGAGATTTGTGAAAATGTCGATTTCGATTTTTTGCCCGATTACAATACTTCCTCTATAGTCTGTATACGAGAAAGAAAAATGTATGTACTAAAAAAAATCCATTAATAACATGTCTATATCAGGACTGCATGAAAGTGCCATCCCCTTTACTGCTATATATGAATGTACGTAAAAATATTTGTTTGTTTGTTTGTTTGCTTGATTTTTACAATCGTAGAGCCGGTTGATCTGGTGAAGGCTATTATGGGAGATAACATACTTTTAAATTATTTAAAACTTGCTAATATTTGTAAACTGTGGTAACGAACGGCTGCTTTCACGGAACAAATAATTGTCTCTCTTAGATCGCGAACTGCTTATGGTGTTTAATGCAAATATTTTCAGTGGTGTCGACTTCATAAATTAGGAATCACTAACAAGTGGAAAATAAAACAAATATTAAAAAAACCTATGCAGCACCAAGCTTTTAAATGCACAGAAAAAAAAAGAAAATAAAATGTATTTGCTTTCTTAAAAATAAAAGCTTTGGTCGCTCATGAGATCTTTTACATCTTCATTTTTCTGCTTCACTGGAATGTTTACAAACGTAGTGCCGGTCCATCTAGTGAAGGCTATTAGGGGCAAATAATAATGTTTTAAGCGACTCGAAATTAAAATAAAGTAACGATTTTAAGAAATATCCTTCGCTTTATCAGCTTGCTGTAAAAAAAATGTGTCAGATTTTTTAAATTTGATTGTTGTTAGCAGTAATTTAAATATTCAAATGTAAGCCAGGGTTCGAGTACTGTACATTATCAAAATTATTATTATTTGATTAAATAGGCCTACTAACTCAAATGTTACCCTAAGAATTAGAGAAAAGTTATCATATTTATATTCATAGAATTTACGTCGATCTTACTGAGAGTAATATTTGTGCTTACCAAAGGTATTTTTCCGCTGGGTTACATTTCATCAGGTAAAAAAAATTGTTGTTAAAGGTAACACATCCATTAATAGATCGATGATTATAATGGTGAGAGTCCAAGAAAGTATTCTTGAATAACTACAAACAATGAACAAGTACTTACCTCTGATATTTTTAATAAACAAAACGCTTTCATTTTGCCCTTTCTCTGCAATTTCCTTGCCGTTTGTGTCAAACCAATTGACATAGCCAATACTCCCGTTATCGGTCCTCTTACATAGGCAGGAAAATGTCCCTTCACTTTTGATATAACCATCCTTAGCATCAGCACCTTCTGGACAGCTACTATCTATCGTGGCTTTTGGGATTGCTGATAAGTTAATTTTTTAATAGAATAATTTATATAGGCTACTCCTTAATACATTAATAACATTAATTTAAAATATTAAATTACGGTATGTAATCTCATTTAAAATGCAAAATACAATACGCTAACATTTTATAATGATGTTAATTAGCACTAAAGAAATATTTTAAAAAAATATTTTGCAATGTTATGTTTCTACCGATATATTGTAATAAATATGGATGGAATGTTTATTCTATTCATTTTTCAAACTATAAAACTAAATACTAAAATGCAGAGATGGTTTAGATTATATAAGTATATGGTAATTAACATACTCAAACAATCATTGTCTTTTGTATGGTCAAAATAATGGAGGGGCGGGGTCGTTGTAGAAATTTAAGTGTGTTCAAACTCTATCCATATAATGTACTAGTAAATTTTGTTCCTTAACTAAAACTGATTGTGAATAATTTGTGTTAGTTTTAATTCTATTAAACAAATACTGATATTGTTCTTCTTTAAATGGTTTAAGTCTAAAATGATATAGCACGCTTACCCATTTTTTTTAGAAAATATATCCTACTTAACAGATGTACTTTTAAGCCAGTAGTGGAACTATTTTAATTTTGTAACAGCATGTCCAATATCTAAACATTGGGATACAGAAAATTGGTTACCCCCCCCCCCCTCCCACACCGGCCTCAACCCATTTAATCAACAGCCACGCAACAGTCTATATTATTAACATTACAGGGTTTCAAGTGAACATTTAAAGTAGTATAAAAACAAAAAAAAAAAAGAAGAATTAAGGCTGTTGCTTACAATATATCACACTGTCTTGTAAGTAAATCTTCTCTCCATATGACTCCCCCTTTTTAATATTTGGATACAGCAGTACAGAAAATGTGTGTTCCCCTACTCCAGCTTTTGTTATAGATTCTGTGTGCTTGCATTCTCCTGCTGTATAACTTGTTTCGTTCACTATTTCTCGGATGGTATAAGTTGTGCTCTTTGCGTCAAGTAACTGCTATTTTTTGGTAATTTTAAAAATGTACTTATAAATCCAAGATATGTTCGAGTTAGCATTTACATAATCCATAATATTTTATTAATGTGTGTGACTGGTATACTTACGTTTTGATGATCGTAAAATAAACATACGAGATTTGTTAAAACTTGTTCCACTTTACAAGAAATAGAAATTTGATTTGCTTGTTCATTAACCACTGGGCCTATACAAGTAGCATTCTTAACAGCTTGGAAATAAATGCACATACAATAAGTCAATTTAACGATTAACGAATACTTTAAGGTTAAATAATTTATTTAGTATTCTTATTGTGTATGACTTATTTAGACGCTGAAATTAAAATAACTATTAAGTAAAGGATAATAAATTTTAATTACCCTCGATCTTTACTGCATGTTTTTCATTTCTGAAGCAGAAGAACCCTGTTACATTCATGGCTCGCTGGTTTAAGGGTATCTGTATTGTGTAGTTGTGGACCTTGTTGAAGCACTTGACTTGGTTTTGTAGAGGTAAACATGAGTCTTGTGTAAAATTAGCGTATTCCTTATTTCTGCCGTTAGATAGCGTTAAGACAAAAATCACAGGGAATTTGTCTCTCCTCGTATCTTGACATGTAAACTGAATAGATGTATTGTCTTCTACAAACTGAAATATACATGTGAAATCAACAGACAGCTACAGTGAGAGGGTGAGTTCGTTAAAACAGTAAACACATAATTTCCTATAGTTTGTTGATATGAAAAATATTGGTTAAATGATTGTGATTAAAATGTTAGAAAAACGTAATGTTAAAGAGATCATTCTTAATAAAAAGTTGTTATATTTATAAAAACCTGGAACATGGACCAATACAGTAATAAATATAAATCAAAACTGCTGATTAAGCATATACTAAATTCAGAACGAAAAAGAAGAAGAAAACTGCTGAAATTCATTACATAACCAGGGGTCGGAGTGGTCGAGTCGGTTAAGCTCATGGTTGCTAAACCGAAAAGCTTGAGTTCGAACCCTCGGGAAGCTCGTTAGCTGGGGGCAGCCACTCTTCTAGGAGAGACAACTCCAAAATCAAACAACTGTTGCCTTGTAGTTTGTTCTTGGTTGGACAAAAGCTATGGAAGCAAATTCAAAAAGCAAAGCAGGCTGAAATCGGAGTCAAAGGCCTCAATAGCGCATAAGCAGTTGACATCAGTGTTGGAAGCGCATTCAAGTTGGCAAAACTCATGGTTGTTAAATTCGAAAAAAGCCTTGAACTCAAACCCTTTGGCAGATGAGGCTCTATCCCTTCCAACACTAAAAATTAAGAACGAAGAAGAAAGAAGATTACAAAACCATGGATAGATAAGAAATCAAGAGGTTCATTAACCTGCGAAATAACTGAATAACTAATTAACTTAGTTTATTTCATATGACCACGCCCACCAATGCATCGTGTATTATTCACGCTATCTGCCGGTACTTACCTGTTATTTTTCTTTAAAGTATACTGTTGCACACTTTGCATTGCGTGCCAAATCAAGCTACGCACGCTTTAAGCGGTGACTAAACTAGGTTGTAATTCTAACGGGCATTAGTTATTTTTCTTTTTCTAAGATATTTAAAATATAATAACCATTCTAAAGCATATCTTATAAATGTGTATGTATTTACTTTTAAATAATTCGATACTAAGCTTATATGTAGCACCGATGATCTCCAACAAGGACACGCAATCTTTAGCCGGCATAAGCAATTTTAATGCTTGAAATTCATGCTTTATCATAACTATGTAAACTTTTTATAATAACTATTTCTATTATCCACTTTAAATTGTTTAACTTATTTGTATAAGAATCTAATTTAAGTAATAGTATACATATATACCTGCGTTTGCTGATGTACACAGAATAAACATAAAGAAACTTTTTGTCAAAGCCAGCATTTTTGGTGTTAACAATAGATCTTGTGCTATACTGAGCGTTGTTTTGAAGATGACTCAAATTTTTCCCGTGTAACTGTTTGCATATAGACGTGTGTAGCTGTCTCCTCTCACGAGAGTTAGTGGACGTATCGAATGATCAATATTCATGATAGAATCGCTGGGAAAATCGATATACGGCTGACTGGTTTTAATTCAGTTCAGCAATCGAACGGGATCAATGTAAAAATCGATTCACCTCTATTCATTAGATTTTTTAAAAAGGCCCTATCAATGTAGAAAAACAGTATGTAAAGCTTAGTAGTAGTCTAGATTCTTAACTTTGACTGAGCGTAATTCTATAAGGCAGCTCAGAAATAGCTTTATGTTGTTTTTACTTCCCTGTTTGGCGCCTGCGGGTTGGCCGCCCCACCCACCCTCCCCTGCGTTCCGAACTCAAAAGGGTAAATAATATAAACTATATTGACACTGTATGAAAGAGTATATCGAATTGTAACTTGTGCTGTACTTAGTTTGATGCGGTCTGGTTTTCGTCTTGCGTTTTACAATATATACGCAGCTTTAGTTAGTCTAGAAATTTGTGTGAGTAGGCTGGCTAAAAAAAAATTGCCTATATAGATGAGTCGCTTCTTATGTTCGGTTTAAAGAAAACACTTTTTTTCATATACAAATCAACAAAGATATGTGGCAGGTACAAACCATTACCAAACCGCAAAACTTATTTGAATAGATAAGCTCTGCATACACATGATAGTGATTTTTAAAAGTTTTATTAAAGGTTCAAAATATACACTTAATTGAGAAAATAAATAGTATGTACTATAATAATATAAAGCAGTAAACTAAAATACATTTCGAGTTAAACTTTAATTAAAGTTAAACCAATTGATAACACGTTCAAATTCCGATGATTTACTGCCACTGCCGACAATAAATAATGTATTCATGAAAATTCTTTTTTCTATGAGATTGTATTCTATTTTTAAAAAGTTTCAGTAATTAAAAATTGATAAATAAGCATGTCTGTATCCAGAGTTGCCATTTCCGTATTATTATCTATATATATAATTCTCTTCTGGGAGCCGCTAAAAAACAAGCTGCAAACGCGCCTAGAAAACAAGCTGTAAACGCGCTCCCTACCTCCCCACCCCTACATGGTTTTAGTGAGCTGTGTTCACTCTAAATGTTTACAAGCAGAGCCAACGATTTTAAACGTAGTGGGGGAGGGGGGGAAGGAAAGGGGGGGGGGGGGTTATGGTCCTTAACGAGCTACTTATAGTGTTTTAAAGAAATATTTTCAGTGTCAGCGTTGGTACTGTCGAATTCACAAATTTTGAATTACTGAAAAGTAGAAAAAAACAACTAAATTGCGGCGTATGTTATGCCGCGGGCCGGCTCGTTTAAGAATATTCGAGAAAGTTTAGGGGAGATCACTCCCGCTTTATTTGTTATTACGATGTAAAAATCTATGTACATTTTCTTGGAATTATACCGACATTTTATTTTTGTAGGCCTATATTTTAATTGCATCATATGGGTTGTTGTTTAACATTTTTCTGATGACTTGCTTGATTCTGATGCTTATTATGCTTGTTTAACGAACCGTGATATTGATGAATGGCAGGTGATGTGTAGGCTAGCACAGATGTGGATCTGGACCTTGGATCGCGTTAAACTTCTCGACTATGGAATGCAGTTCGTGCATACTACATGTAAATCACAGGAGAAATGTATAGATCTAATGATCACGGTAAACTAAGCACTAATAAACTTTAAAATATAAATGGTTAACCTGTTTGTCTTCAATACCCACCTACATCTTATACAACAGAAAAGTGAAAACAAATTCGTAATTTTTAAAGAATTAAGTTTTTCTATTTTGAGTTGTGAATAAAGATTATATAAGGAGCTCTTTGTCACCATGGTCGATATTAAAGTTATTAGGATGTGATATCTTTCTACAAGCATTGAAAACTATTGTTTAGGATTGTTTTTTTAAAATGGAAATCATACTGTAAAGCTAAGAGTTCACCAAATATTTCATAAAATGTAATGGCAATGCTTGCTTTATCGAGGAATGAAGATAATAGATTACTTGTAAATGTAATCTATTATAGTTTTTTTTAATTTTTACAACTCAGTAAAGTAGACTTTGCGTTAGTTTTAAGTTATGTAACCTTCATATTTATCTATCACAATGCCGCGTTTCTAAAACATAGAAAGTTTAAAACATTTATTTTTTTTCGCCAATTTTGCAGTAGGGATAAAAACTACCGTACATTATCATGAAGTGCGATATTATTAGTTTTTTTCCTTGAAGTTTCAGGCTAAGCCTATTTTGCTGTTCTAATATATTTGCTTGATATTCTACTCTGCTAATTCAAGTTTCGTTCTTTAAGTACATCAAAAATTTAAGTTTCACTTGCCCTTCCAGCAACATCCGGATTTCATCTTTCCATTCAAAGCCACTTCTCATAACATTTCTTTTTGACAACCAGGGTACTGGAGTATAGAAAAAAAAACAACTCCTGATCAGTATCCATGTATTTGCACTGTGTGTTTTAAACAGACGGTTGTTAAATGCTCCAGATCTGATGTAATTTTTTTTTTAATTTGTACAAGAACTTCGTGCAGGAGTGTCGGTAGAGTCTAAAAAGAGCATACCAAAAATGATGCTGTAAATCAATCCCCTTTACTTCAGAACTAGTCGTTTTTTAATTAATTTCTGGTACCATATTTTTAAACTAAAAATATATGGAGCACCAGCCCTACCGACCCTTCCTACGTTTTCCCACATTTTATCTTCTCAATAATATCTTCACTTTTTATAACAGTTATGTCTTGTTGGTGATTTTTAAGTCCCTTTTATTATGTATATCAAGGTTACGTCCCTTGAGTGTTGACTGTGTCTTCGGTTGTGTGTAGCTGAATGTACCTGTTAGTCAGTTAACGAAAGGTAGAGTCAGAGCCAGGACGTCGTGTTGTCTGATCTCGTGTATACAGTAATAAAGTACTAGTGTTAACTGAAATAACTGTGTCTATTCAAGTAATGTAAGTCCAATTTTACAAAATAAAATTACTTTTTGGAGGCGGGACGAGGGGGGGGGGGTTTGATTAATTCAGATTAATTTACAAACAAGGGCACAAGTTCCGCTCTGTTATATACACAATGTATGTTTGCTGTTCACTTGGTGCGCAAATGTTTTTCTACGAGATTCTATTTTATTTTACAAAGAGTAACTAATTAAAAAAAAATCGTGTCCTTATCCCGAGTTGATATCCTTCCTACTGTTTTATAAGTATATTCG